TCCAACGCTTTGGATAGGTCTAAGCTCGAATATGGATCTCTAATATGGATAACGATTTACAATCAATATATTGATGCTGTTGATAAACTTCAAAAGAAATTTTCAAAATTCTTGTAATTCAAGATTGAGGTACAGAATATGATACCATCCTTTATTCAATTCTAGCAATTCTAGTTTTGTATAAACTGCTGCATAATCTAATACATTGTCCCACAGTACTTTCGCAGATACTGGGAGACTACCAGGACTAACATCTAAATATAATATTCCTTTTTTATGTCAAAATATGTGACAGTATATGACTGAGTTGATAGAGGTTTAATTGCCTGAAATAAATCTGAACATTACTCAGGTAATTCAAACAAGTTAGGAATTAGGAAACTGTAAGTGGAATGTACAATTATTGCGGAAAGTTATGATTAAGTTCAAAACTCTGAACTTTTTTGAACTAAATAAATTGATATTATTACGACAAAAACAAAAGTGACATTTGGCGTCAGCGAGCTGTCGGAAAATGTAACAAATACCATTACGCAATACAAATTATTACTACCCGCGTGTACACAGGTGAAAATCATTTCTTAGCAGGAGGACACTCCCCAATGAGTACTAGACAGGTACTGACCATCTATAATCATGGAGGTGGAGATCTTGCATTGGAATGTACGAGATACGGCGTTGCCAAATGAACCAATGATGTAATGTTGCAGAATTTGTGGCGATAATGAAAATTAAAGTTAAATTCTTGTAGTCCGGTACTGTAGTAGTACGCAGGAGGTAATAGAAAACTAAACATACATGCAAGCAGTAAAATAAAACGACGAAATGGCGACGACCAAGCAACGACCTTGCGTGTCGGCTGCAGATACGGGAACAGGATGCTAGATTCTAGTCGTTGAACACCAGACGGCTTGCCTTGCTACTACATACTGCTATGTATGTTGCGACTTTTCTCTGTAGTGCGGAGAATAATGAACTCTCGCGTCCTGCTTGGACCCGAAGCATACAGCCAATAGTACTTGCTAAAAAATAATAATTGGTGGAAGTTAAACTATATATCGAAACACAATGCAAGGTACCCCTAAAACTGGTAACACTGCTATATAAGATCCCCGTGATAGTTTTGACGAGAAGGCGACATCGAAATTAATTTTAAGGGTAAAATGCATTAGAATCAGGCTCCAAACTAGGTTTGCAAGCTCGAAATGTGTGTATGAGATAATATCAGGTGTTCTCCGTATGATTCGGGCATAGGCTGTAACGAAAAACACCGTTCTTAATGTCCAAAGTTTGATTATTAATTTTACTCTACACTCTTACACTTTACATTTATGACAAGTTATAACTATGTTGACTGGAATACGGCCTCTGTCGACTATTCGACTGTGACCAACCCCCTCCGCCATCTGGTCGGATATTTATTTCCCTATCGATGAGTCGAGAAACATTCCAGCGTTTTCCCGAACTTCCATGGAAGTTACTACATTACCATGCGATTTACAAACACACTCTGATATTGGTTTCACTTGTTTATTGAAAAGATTTCCCTTCTTACGACTTACCATCAGATAAGTATTTTCGTGAAACGATCATCCCTGATGTATTTCAAAGATGCAAAGCATATGTGTAAGAGAAAGTAGATCAAATGATCGGGAAAAATGTTACTAATATCACATATAAGGACCTGCCAAGCGTACCTAGTGAACAGCAATGTTTATGATGTCAAACGAAGCAGGTTAAGCCCTAATAGGGCAGCATAATCTGTCTTAATTACATTTTAAATGTTTGTAACCACTTTGTTTTTGATAGCATATATTTTTTATAGTACTTTCCATATTTAGTTTTACATTTTTATTATTGATTTTCATAATTATTTTAGTATGATTCTGAATCCAATATCGCTATTATAAATATATTTCCCAAATACTAATGTTCCCTCTTCTTTGTTTCAGTGTTCACCAACGAGCAACACAGTATCCTCAACGTCCGCCCCGTTGGTCTGCAGCGATTCAGTGGCCGCCCCAAAACACCTACTGCCCATCAAGAAGCAGAAACTATCACCAGGCGGACCGGTAGCGGATTTCCTGCTGCCCGCTTACGCGCTATCGCCGTCGGTTCATCATCAAACTGCACATCATCAGGCTATACAACAACTTTATGCTTCTCTGGATCCGGCTAGGTAAGATTTAATTATCAATTATACAGGGTGACTTCGAAGTTGAGTCATTTATTTTAACAGTGAGTAGATCTGATCAAGAGAAATGTTTTTTTCATTTAACATTTTTCTGGCAAAATTAAAGTAACAAAGTTATAGACCTTTAGAAGTTTGAGTACCGCCCTGTCTCAATAATAATATTATGTGCTCGTGTTTGGCAACAACGGATATAATCCGCCTTATCGGTTCATCGCATCGGAAACAAAAAAGCGAAAGAATTTGAAACGTTTATCACGATGTTTTACTACAATTTTATTCAGTTGTATTCAGTCAATGTGTCAGTCGGTAACGCGTGAGTGAATAGTGGTGTTTGTTGCGTGGCTCAAACGAAATAAAAATGGCACATGTTTACGAAAATGCTGAACTTGTGGACATGATTCTTATTTACGGGGGGGGCGAGTCTTTACAAAATGCTGCCGCGGCATCACGGATTTATGCGGATCGGTTTCCCAATCGAGTGCAACCAACCCCTCGTGCCTTTGTTAATGTAGTACAAAGGGCTCGTGAATCAGGTGACTTAAGACCTGACAGGGGGGGGTCTGAGCGTTTCCCAAAAAAAAAACTGAGCTGCCAGTAAATGCGTCTATTTCGTTTTCGATGCGCCACCCTGTATAGTACAATATATAAATACGCGCTATGATAATCAAATATCAAACATTGCTAAAAAACAATTTTACATCAGAGCTAATAAGTTCGAGAACGGACACGCTCGTTGCTGCAATATGAGGATTTTTTTTCCTGAAAAGCCGAAATACGAGTCCAATAATGTATAATTTACTTTGATATCCCACATCAAATATAGTAAAAAAATACGATTTTGGAAAAGTTTTGCTTTTACTTTCCGGAAATACTCTGAACTGCGTAACTTTCTAAGTACCATTTTTTTTTACCTAAATGCAAAACTTTGTCCCTATTTAACCGACTTGAGATCGTTTTGAGTAATACAGAAACTCATTCAGAGGAGGGCTATTCGGCTGATCAATGGCATTTCTCTAACAGACAGTCTCGGGACCCTCTCTCACCGACGGTTCGTCGACGATTTCGCTCTCTTCTGTGCTGTATATATCTTTAGCAATTCAAGAATCGAATTAACAATGCGCCATCAAATGCCGTACCGTCAGTCGTACCTACAATTTGTAGGACGCCTTTATGGCCTCCTTGATTTTCATAGTTCTCTACTCTTCCGTATCAGCGCTTTAGTTTGAGGTTATGTCACAAATATCTATTTCCATCAAATTGTTCATGATTTGGTTTATATCATCTGCCTGAAATTTTCTCCAATTCAAAAAGATAAACTTCACACGATAAAGGCGTCCTACAACAAAATTGTAAGAACGATTGACGATACAGCCTTAAGTATTTAGATTTCTGCCTACGAGCCTGCTTCAGTATAAAAAAAAGAATCTCACCACCGTCCGTTTTTTTTAATACTTGACACTATGTTAGTTTCTGCATGAACAGACCAAAACTATAAAACTAGAGTCTTAAAACTCTCACTTGAAATAACGTATAAACTGTTTTTTTTTTCTTGAACAGGTACATCGCTCAATGCCTGCAGGAGTTTGGAGCGGAGGTGCACCTGGTGCCGGAGGAGGGTACTGGTGCCTCAGGTGGTACCGGACACATCAGTGCATTCAAACCTGTTGCACAGACTATCAAAGAGGCTAAGGTATACACTTTGTAAATCATACTAGATAGATAAAATCTTGAAGCAAATTATCAGAATCACGGCCAGTCTATGATGCGGACGACTGGAAACCAAAAAACCAAAAAGCGGCACAGCGTAACAGATATCTGATGCCTAGCCCCCAACTTTCCAAGTTTCCGACAAAATAATAATGTCAAATTTAGTATTTAGCATATAAAAAAACTCAATAAATCAATTCTTTTAATCACGCTACTTAAATTTGTATGACATATTTTGATATCGTGTGTATTGCTGTTCCTTTTGAAGAATTTACAGTAACGATTCCAGTAAAAAATTGGCATTTTTGAGTATTCACATCAAAATACGTGTATATTAAATTGTTTCAAATACCAATAAATGGGAATAAATAATTTCTACATAATCACAATCACTATTTGCTTCCAGGCTCGTCAAGCATCTGTATTCGCCCAATACGCCGCTGTAGCTGCAGCTGCAGCAGCCCAACAACAGCAATCCGCGATTGCAGCTGCCGCCGCAGCTGCTGCTATTTCCACCCCAGTGGTGGAACCGCCCCCGCGACTGGAACATCCCGACGGGTGATACGCGTGCCTCAGGAGGCGGCGCAGGCGTATGATCGATTTGGAGGCGGAGCCACAACAGGCCACGCCCCCGCCTTTCAACCGAACGTCGCATTGGCGCCGCCCCCACACGCCGCACCCACCGTGCTGCTCAACGGAGACAGCCCAGGTGGGGGCGGATTCAGTGCTGGGGGCGGCAGAAGGTGTCAGCATCCAAAGAAACACAGGTTAGTATTGCTTATATCTTAAATTATATGCGCTTGTTCCAAAACGATGTTCATTACCGCCCCGCGACTGAAATGACCCGACCGGGTGGTGCGCGTGCCTCAGGAGGCGGTGCAGGCGTATGATTGATTGATCTCAATTTTACCCAAATACCCGGCATTTTTCAAGCTTTTGTCCAGAATTGGTAATTTAGGTGATGACAACCCTAGTCGTTGCCCTCTGAAAAATCACGCTGGTATTTTTTTGCAGAAAGAGTCTAACGTCCCTGGGCTATAACGAATCCTAATTCCACATCTTGAAAACATTGTCGTTTTTTGACTATATAGGTTTTTTGTGACATTCTGTAGGTTTATCTATAAAATGTCTACTCAGAACTAGCTGTTATTCACTGTTCACTCTGCAGCTGCACGTGTTACCTAAACGTTATCACGCTTCAGCTATCAATATTTGATTCGGCTGCTTCAGAGCATTATTGGAGGTCTAAGCTGTAAGTTGTAGAAATTAGATTTTTTCTTATCCGATTTCAAAAATGAGAGAGATAAAAAAATTCCTTGTTGGTGAAGTATATTACAACCAACAGGTGAGAAGATATGCCAGAGACAGGAATATTTATGAAACGTAAAACATTTATTACCTTTCATATTATTTTTTATTTTCAGACATTTAAATTTTATAGAATAGAATTTATTTTGCGATATGAAGATACAAATCAGCGCCTATGTGGCTGGCTTAATTACACACAACGCGGCGCAGTGCTGATTTCTTGCAATGTCTCTCAGTTTTAGTAACGCAAAAAGACTTGAGAAAATCGTAATTTATAACTTTGAACATAACCTCTCTTAAGAAAGGACAGCGCCAAAGAACCAACCAACTAATAGATATACTTCATGGGCAGCATATTATATACATCCATGTGTGAACGGAATATTACTCATAAACAAATACATATTGGGAAAATCTATTTATGGGATGTTATACAAGACATTTGAGGTCGCATTTCTAAAATATCTGCCATTATACAGGGTGTCCCAATTTCGACCTACATATCAAAGTAGTGATTTTTCAAATGGAATTCCTCAAATTTTATTGCATATTTGGATAGACCAATTTAAAAGAAGAAAATTGATATAACATACTATGGGGTTTTGGTAATTCGCTACTGAGATATAAGGTGTTTTGTCTGGAAAAACTCCCCACTTCGGCAACCCCGCAGTCCGCCATTTTGGAATTTGGAGTGCTGAATTTTGTATCAGGTATCAGGTGCCCAAATAGTTACGCACACGATTATGATAATACGAGATGCAAGGAAATTATTTCTTTGGGCTTCGCCCTAAAACGAACACCATATTCACCATTTCTTCTTTAGAAAAATTTATTTTCAAACACGTTTTTATTATAATGCTCACAAAGCTAATTTTGACAGTTTATTTGTTTCCTATGATTATCCGATATTTTAGTGAATTAAGCCGTTTCATAAAAGACGCTAATAACCGAAAAAATAGCCATAAAAACCCTTATGCGTCTAGTATCAAAAAACTCTTATACAAAATTGAATCCAAACTTGCACAAATATACAGGGTGTTCCTAATGATATGCGAATATTTAAGGGTATGTATCTACATGCAAAATTAATGTTAGTTTGCTTTATAAATTATAGTCCAAAAATGTTCCTTAAAACAGGGGGGTGTTGAAGTTTTAAGAAAAAAAATGCAAGTTAATTAATATTTTCAGAACCGCTTCAGATATTTCACTGATATTTAGTACGTAGTGAAAGTTAATAAAGTTGCATATTTTTCAATGCAAAAATAATTTTTAGCGTACGGGTATTGACCATTGGCGTACCATTTTTTCTTAAAAAATATCGAAGTCAATACCCGTACGCACGCCTTTTGTTAAAGCTAAAAATTATTTTTGCATTGAAAAATATGCAACTTTATTAACTTTCACTACGTACTAAATATCAGTGAAATATCTGAAGCGCTTCTGAAAATATTATATAATTTCCGTTTTTTCCTAAAACTTCAACACCCGGAGTTTTTGTAAGGAAACATTTTTGGACCATAGTTTATAAAGCAAACTAACATTAATTTTTCATGTAGATTCACACCCTTAAATATGCGCATATCATTAAGGAACATCCTGTATAGGGTGATGCATTTGAAATTTTTGAGAAAAAGTACAATTCGCGTTTTTGACCACGCAGTATGAACAAAAATGAACATTCGAAAAAGTGACATATAAGATAAAAGCTGAGGTGTGTAAGTTTTTTTTGATACAAAATTCAGCACTCCAAATATCAAATTAGCGAATTGAGGAGTTGCCGAAGTGGACGGTTTTTCTGGACAAAACACTTTACATCTCAGTAGCTAATTACCAAAACCCCATAGTATGTTATATCAATCTTCTTCTTTTAATTAGTCTATCCAAGTATGTAATAAAATTTGGGGCATTTCATTTAAAAAATCACAACTTTGATATGTAGGTCAAAATTGGGACACCGTGTATAATTGCCAATATTTTAGGAATGTGCCCTCAAATGTCATGTATAATATGCCATAAATAGATTTTCCCAAAATGTATTTGTTTATGAGTAATGTTCCGTCCACACATGGCTGGGCTACCCTGTATATATCAATATATATACTCTATAGACTATTTCGGCATTCTGCAACCAACAAAGCATGCTGGGAAAAGCTGGGTGACACCAACACACTACGAGCTATCTAGTCAGCAAGTTTTTTTTTGATATTATGTAGGTTTTTTACGTGATAACCCTGTTACAGTGGTACTACGTAACTAGAAAAGTGGCATGATTTCATTTTCTTGTTTGAAATTATGTGTCAACTTGGAACTAGCTGTAGTTCACTTTTTGCTAACTTTTTACATAATAACCCAGCCGACCGAGTGTATGGCCGCTCCTAATACTTGACATTTTGCGTTCCAGATACGGTCGAACCTCTGACTATTCGACCTCAACCCCCTCACCGACCAGCCAGCAAGACAGTACGGAGGTACGAACGCCAGAGTCCACCGCTGATTCAATGAAGGAGCCCAGTGAACACAGCGACAAAGAACATCAAGATAAGGAGATGGCAGAGACGCCAGATCAGCCAGATCAGACGGTCAAGGTCGAACCGACTGAACAGATGGATTGCGGCAGTACAATGGTTTCTGTAGTGGTGCATAATAATGGTAATAGCCTGAACCATACGAGGTACAATCCTGAGATAGAGCTGTCCACGGATACTGAGGATAGTGCGTCAGAAAGTTCGGAGAGGGTATCAGTACTGAGCAAAGTCGATGAGGTAAGATTAATTCGAGATATTATATAGCTCCTCAAACTTATCCTGTGGGTTTCATGTTCATAGCACTGCATCGCCGATTCAAAACCACATATATGTTTAGATTTCAGTTTTTTATACGACGTTTTGACAACTTCTGTGGTCTTTTTTAAGAACAATTGACATCCGTGACAGTGGCGGAGTTAGGGGAGACGTATGATACTTGCTTTTGTAATCAAACACCTTTGTGTTACTTTCAGACACATCATGGCAACAGAGGCATACTAACTAGAAGTTATAGCTATAGGAACTGAGCATTGCGATTTTTTGGTGTCCTTTGGTATTCCATCACTTTACAGCACAATTCTTACGATTTATACGTATATACGAGTATTGTGACTTGTGACAAATCTATGTCTGAGTAAATATAGTAGCTAAACAAATTGCACTTAAAAAGTGATTTATGTTCTGTTTGTTGCTCAATAGTAATTTGAAAAGTGTGTAAAGCTCGACTGATCTTGTTAGGGGTTGGTGTTGCAGCAAAGCACGTCGTTATATGAACGTCTTAATTGGAAATGTCAGCTGCATTGATTATCCTTGTAATTAATTCATCGCGCGTTGGTACGGTAGTTTTTTTGTATTTCAAATTTAACCGTCTGAAATCGGAATAAAAAATAAAAAAAATAAAATTCAAATAACTCAAAAAACGGTTAACTTCTGGATAGGACATTATAGGACAAAATCGGTTGCTTTTGACCTAATCTATCACCCCTTAACAGCAATACGTGACATTACAAGTATATTATCACAATAAATAAGTTATCTCGAATCCATAACGTTTCCTGTAATAAAAAAATGGCTACGTGGATAGAAATCAATGGGCTATCATTACATGACTCTGTAATCATTTAGACGTTCTAAAAATAAAGTTACACAGTATTTTAGAGTAAAATTCCAGCTATCAATCTACATTCCATTACTGTGTAGGGTATTACGTTACTGTTTTCCTGTTTCACAATCCTGTACTGTTACTACAATAGTCTGAAAGGTCCTGTAAGATGCTGAGATTGCGCGAAGCCATCTTTGCAATTTGCGGCGATAAAGTGTACCCATAGTAACAGGTCTACCTTCTTCTCCGAACAATTTGTCAGCGATTTGACGCGTAGTAGCATCACGGTCTCGTAGGGCTAGTTGTCTGAAGCGCCTATCTTGATGCTCTGTGGTACGCCTCGGTGAACCAGTTGGCCTTCTTCGTGTTCCTCTATATTCTCCTATCCACACACGATACACACGCATTACCATCATTGCAGTACAATAATTAACACGGCGGCCAATTTCGCGGTAGGACAACCAACATCTCGATAGGCAATAATACTACCCCTGTCAAAGTCGCTAACATCCTGATTACTCAAGGCATTTTTTATGCTTAACACTAGTAAATAAAAGGGCAATAACTAAAAATATCTGTACCTCTCAGCTCTCAGAAACTGCTGTCTTCGCAACAACTAAATGATAACATTTTAACAAAATCAAAGATAAAGCACTGCTGTAAATATAGTTATTATGCTGCTGAAAAAACAAGTTGTAGAAATTATTTTTTCTGGGTGTAACACTTCACTGTAGGTAGCTATAAATCAAACATCTAGGAACGAACAGTAGCTAAAATTGCAGCACTGTGAAAATGTAATGCAAGTTGCGCGTACACTCCACTACGGCGTGACAGACACTTGGCAATAAGTTTCAGAAATTACAGAGCCATTGGAATCAGCTGTCCACTCTGGGGGAGGGTTCCAATTTAGGGCACTTTCCACAACCAATTAAATACTATTTTTTGTTGCAGTTACTGAAATCCGTAGACTGTACGATTCGACAACGAGTCCTCGGCTGCATAAGACACGTCACACAAGAAGTCAGCCACCTGCAGCACGAAACCCGAACAAAAGACATGCAGATATCAGAGCTAGAAAAGCAGATCAAGGAGCTGAAATCCCAAATGGCAAACGGTACGTCTGAATCAACTGTTGAGAATTCGTGTGCGACGGAAGAGGGCAAGTCCAGCGACGACAACGTAGAGAAAAGGGAGAATGGTTCAAGTGTGATAGCTGCGGTAGAAGATCAGAAAGAATGTGTTATAAGGAAGGCGGCTCAATGATCGGTAATTGTTACTGCTAAAGGGTGCACGTTTTAAAATATAGAGAGGTCGGGGTGTGGTTGTGTTAGAGCGATGAGCGACATATAGAGCTCAAATGAGTTAGATTTTTTTTATAAACAACCTTGCTTTTATCAATTTTTAAAAATTATTTCTTTTTCTTAAAGTCAACGTCTAGGTCGTGCCACTAATAAAGTTATCAAATCTCCCAAGCATGCAAGTTGGCTGTCAATTTACTAATGCCATCAAAGATACAAAACGAGATCGAAAGCTAATAGCAGCACTTAAAAACAACGTCTTGCTTTAGTAACACGTCTAAGTTGCTTGAGTGGAAATTTTGGCACTTTCCGTGAGTTAATTGCAAAATAGGTCAATTCGCGAATAAAACCATGACTCTAACCTTCCTCAGGTATTAATTAGCAAGTGTACAAATATTTACGACTCTCCGTATTGTGATTGGGAACTAAAAGATCATCACAGGTTGTAGATTTTTCTGATTTTTAAGCCTGTAGGTAATTTGAAGAGTACACTACTTAGATTTTTTTATATTTCTCTGATAACTATTATAACTTGGCCTATCCCTCGATTCGGCGTGACGTCGTCTTCTAGGAGATCCTGCATAAAAGAGAAGAGATCATATCATTGTAGATTTCTAAACTATTTGACCTATGAACATGAAATTTGATAAGGAGGTAGTTTATGGACAGGGCGTTCCAGTTAAGAACGGTTTTTACAACAGGGCCCGATTCACGGAGCTAATGGCAAATATATAAATATAATCGCGAAAATATACTCATTTATCACGAAATCTGGGAAACTATTTGAATTTGGGTAGGGAGGGGCTTATTTACGGGACATTTTAGCTAAGAACGGATTTTATGCCAGGGCTGGATAAAGGGATTAAGTTAGTTCGAAATTGCTTGGACTTTTCTAATATCTAAAAAATGGCACCATGAAAGTCTGTTTAGAGAAGACTTAAACTAAGAAGGGAACAGAAATTGAAGACTCATTATAATTATGTATTCATTTCTTCCAACTTGCAATGCGGAACGATATCCTTATATTTACATATCGCTTTTCAGAACTTGAGACCTTGTTCTATAGTAGATAATCTAAACAACGTTCAAAATTATTTGAAATCCTTAAATCACCATTTCAATAATTCTCCCACTCGAATCACATTTTTAATTTTGTATCTCCAGTTTTATTTGAAGCGAAATTCGGAAAAACTGACAACAGGCTCAACATGCTAACATGAACACACCTTTGATTTGAACGAGTGATCGCTGAAAAACGACAATATACGCTTTTTGGATTTCTATTGGATGTATAGATTGCTTAACTTGTTGAATTTCATGGTTACTTTTTGGCGGAATTTTTCAACTAGATGTAATTCTTTCAAGCAATAAATTGCTCGATTCTCATTTTTCTAATGTCTATAGCATAATGAACATTTTATTGTCAAGTTCCAAAAGTCGGAGATCGTGTTAACCGCCCCTCTCTATTTTAGCTATGCACTGTTTTCTCACTGAATACGAATTATGTCAGAATTGGGGGATGATGTACAAATTTTAGACAAAACCTATAAAATTACACAGGACAACAAAAAAAAGTAAAATTGGTATGTGCTGGGCGTCTTACTATATTTTTTCCATGAGCTTTTTCTCTCTGAACATGCATTTGAAGTCAAATTTGGGGGTGCATGGATAAATATGAAAGTATCTTTGAAATGTTGGTAGAAGCGGATATCTGGTAAACAATGCATATACACTACTTGTATTTTATACTGAAGCAATCGCGTAAGAATGTTCGATGTTACAAAGAGAAACATACAAAAATAGAAAAAATCAAAGCGAAATCCATCACACAGATCATTCGCGGACAAACATAAGTGGAAACGACGAACAATAATTATAATATAAAAAAATTATTAGATTACACTTTTTTATTGTCCGTCGGGCCCAAATTTTCATTTCAGATTTGTGTTCGGCAAGAAAAATTGCATGTGAAACGTATAGTGGAACCCCCAGTACATACCACCTTTTTATTTTTTGATGACCTGTGATACTCTTCAAGAGATACAGATTGGTTTGGAAGGTAGGTTTGTCACCCCACTTGATTCAGAGTATAGAGAATTGAAGATTTCGTAAATTGTTACTATTGAAAGATGTATTTTATGACAATAAACAATATACTATAGACATTGCAGAACATTTCAGATGCTTCAAAAATGAGAACATAATGCACATTGTGAACTATTTTTCTAATCTACATGCGAACCTGTTTGATGAATATTGTATCCACATTTGATGAAGTACTTTGATCCGTTTTTATATAAACGGTAATCTTTTTGTAAAAATTTTGAGAATGTAAATTGTAGAATTGATTTTTATTGGACAGAATCGGTAATACTCCACTCAATGAGTGCTTACGAACGTATATGTAAATATTTTTATAACCACGTATTGGTGATACCTGCTTAAAAAACAACTTTGAAATTTGTTTGGGATATTAAACTAGTCGTCAAATGATAGTAACGTTTTTGTCAAATTACTGTCAAGTATAAGAACATGCAAATGTTCCCTGTTACATTCAAATCGTTTCCAAAACCGAGGGCAAAAATTCAAGTGTTGATAGTTTGGACTATACTAGGACATCTCAGGAGAAACCTAGTTAATTTTTTAGAGTAAAAGCTTCGGTTGTAATTTTTGTACCTAGTCATTTCGAACGGTTTTGATTGATGAAGAAATTCACATGCGGATTATGGTAAGAAATAGATATTAAGCAGCCTGAATTTTTGCCCATTATCGAGAAACATCCTGTTTAATATAAATAGTATGTCACCTTATCTTGCAGGCATTTTATAAACGTCAATATGTAATTTTCCCCAAGTTTTGATGACTAGTTTATCAAGACTTATAGCTGTTAGTACATTGTGATATACATACCTTACACATTGTTTTTATACACGATTACCTGCCAGAAGACGTTCATTTTGTAGAACGTTGTCAATTATACAGGACAGAAAGACGATTGCTTCAAAAATTGCTGATAAGAACCTATTTCAAGTAATATCGAACTCGCATTTTAGTAATATCAAGAATTTTTGTTTGCGTAAAACTATATAGCAATAATACACATATTCAGCAATCTCTTTACAAACTTTTACATTTTTATGAAAACTTCTTATAAGCAATAGAAGTTGAAGTTATCAAGGTTTGATATGCTCCTAATATCGCCTCAGTTTTTCATTGTTCAAATTGATAAGATAATTTGAGCCTTTCTTGGGGAATTTTTGAAAAAAAAGTGTTTATTGTAACATCTGAAACTCATGTGATTGTCTGGCTGATGAATCTCAATATTTCAGTGGCCGCCAGGTGAGGACTTGAAATATTGACTAACGTTTCGGTCACTATGGTGATCTTTCTCAGTAACAATGACAATATGGGAGACTAGCGAGTAAAAACAAGCCAACTGATGGTTAAGGTCCAGATGGCCGAACGTCAGTAAATTTTTCAATCCTGCATCTGTGGTTTGGCGGCCAGTGAAACGAGGAGATTTGTTCCTCCAACCTCTCATTCATGATGCCACCACTTTCTAGGTGTGCTAAACCAACTCTGCAAACTTATGCTTCACATTCCAACTTTGTCATTTTCTGTATGTGTATACACGCAGCTTGATTATGCAAAAACCTTTCCTTGCCAAACCGAAACATCATTTCTGTCCCTGATCGTAAATATTCCAAGGTGATATAAAGGAGCTCGAAAATCTCCATTTTTGTCCTGTGTTGTCTCCAGGACTGGCTTGTAATTTTTTCTTCTTTTATTGTTTCGGTAGTCCGACTTTGAAATTGGAGGGAATTATGTACATTTTTTTGTATCATATGAAAAGGAATGAATAAACAGATGGACGTATTCTATATTATACAAAGTAGCCTTAGTCGTGCTATATTTTAATGGGCGCTTGTGTACATTTTGCAAAATCTTGTCTACAGGTTGTTTCAATAGTAAGATAACATACTTAAGTTGGCGATTATTGGGTTCATTTTAAGAAAAAACCTAATTGTGAACGTATGTCCACTCATCTTAAATTTTGGGATATTAGGAAATTGATTTTAAGGGAACCATTGCACGCCACTGCTTTTTCTAGTAACAAACATTTTTATAATATCACTATAATTCGCTAGAAATAAAGGCAAGGCATATTTGCTCAGAAGTCAATAATATATATTATTCATATTTTTTGTTACGTGAAAATTCAGTGACGGTTAAATTATTCAGCTCCAATCCCGCACAAACCCCACTGGAAAATATAAAATAAATGAAATTGTAGATCATAAAAATATTTTTTTAAAGCTTCACCACCCTGTTTCTCAAAAGTCAAGACGTACAGGGCACACGTTCATAGTTTTTTTGTTTAAAGCGGACCCAATAATCAAAAATATTTTAAATTACCCTTGGAACACCCTGTATTTGTATGATATATGGACAAATTGATGCGGATTCGAAAAGAGTGTAGTTTGTTAGATTTCTTCTCAGAATCGTTCTTGTTATGATTGTTTTAATTTATCATTATTAAATATTGTTACTCGGTAATATTTTTTATGAATTTAAAAGTACAAAATGTGGTGCAAAGCACTGTTATATATAAATATTTTAAGTATGTATTATATATTCTCGTATATAAGATAGTAACCATTTTCTTTTGAACCTGATCGTTTTGTTATAGTCCAATCATTTGAGAGTCTTTTCTGGAACGTTTTCCGCGAATTTTGTAAATTAGTACCTTTATATGTTTGAGGAAATGTTCACTTTGCTGGCTCATATCTTCATCGCTTGTATCGCCATCTTAATAAAATGGTGTTTTGCATATACACATTGTTATAAAGTATCTAGCCAAACTTCAAGGGTGATCTAAGATACGCAAAACAATGCTAAATATATAAATTTTAATTGTAGGAGCCTGTTTGACTGACTTGATTCGTAGCTAACTTTTTCCTCAGAAAGGCTAACTTGTGCTGAACATAAACCTTTACGAACTGAACGAAACATTTTTTTCGAAAAAATCTTCATAGTCCTTAAGACAATTTTGTTAAAATTTGATAGCACTATATATAAGAGTCATTTCGCAACATGGTAAAAGAAGCATCACTTTACAAGGTAGCAAAGCAAAACTTTGAAAAAACTAGAAATGCTGATTTTAAAAACTAACGAAGAACATTCCAAGCAACCTTTCTGACGGCCAAATGTCTGGACTATTTGGTTTCTTATTCAAGGATGTGATTGAACATAGGATATAGCTTTTTCTTTTTGTACAGTCCGTGATTGCATTTTTAACGGTGACCAAATGATATGAAATTTGAACTCAGGTATTAAGAAACACAATCAAATATTTTGTATATAGCATTAAAAAATGGAAAATTAATGAAAAAATCATGCGCTCTCCGTATATGACGCATATCACAGTTTCTTATAAACAGTTGTGTTAAAAATGCAATAGTGTTAAATGTAAAGGCCCATTCTCCCAGTCTGATGTAGTGAGTATATTGATGATTTTTATAAGACAAACAGTTTAATATATTATCCATATTTGTATTCAAACTGTAGAAAGACTTTATGATTTATCAGAACTTTGACATATGGAACAACCTCAAACTTCCTCCATTGACATCGGATACGTTTGACCTTGACCTTAGGTCTAACTGACTGAAGGCAAGGTCAAACATGTTGATATAACTTGACATCTTCTAACTTTTTTACCTGTCCACAGAAAAAAATATTTTATACAATAGTTGTATGGTCTAATATAAAGTTTTTCAATATGTATTTTATATACAGGGTGACTCAGAAAAGTGCTACCGAATAAAGTTGTGTTTTTTCAAATGGAACAGATTGATAGTCGCTTTTTTCTGATTCCAAATATATATGATTTGTTATAGAGTTTTACTAGTTTGGTCAAAAACTTTAAATTTCGTGTGTCATTTATTCATGTATATCCGGGTACAAGCTAATTTGGATCTAGCTACAATATGCATACTGGCATTTAAGTTTTTGACTGAACTAACGAAAAGAAGTATATAAACCATATTTATTTGGAATCGGAAAAAAACGATCATTTCCACTAAAAATATACAGGGTGTTCCATTCGAGAAGTACCACTCTATTCGATAGCCCTTTTTTGGACATTATGTACACAAAAAAGGTATTGCCAGAAAGGCCTTATATTAGACTACAACTACAACTTTTTTCATGCAAAAAAGTTAAGAGGTTGTCAATTTATCCCAGGGACAATTTCATGAGGCGTAGGTCAAATTGAAATACGTCCAAGATCAATTCAACGTTGTCCTCAAAGTTCTGCACAACATAAAAGTCCAACTACTTCAATTTATCGTTTTCAGCTTGCTAATTTTTATTTCTGTGTGATACTTTTTCGGAATTTCAGTTTTGGATGGAATATTTTCTACATGTCCATCAATTGGAATTTTTGTGATAAGATTGTCGAACCGTTTTATACTCAAAGGAAATACATTTTTGTGTGCTATTGGAAAACACGTAAGAAGCACTGTTAATATACTGTGGACAGATTCATTTTAGCTTTTAAGCCTTCGAGCATATATAAGAGGTTGTCAATTTATCCCAGGGACAATTTCATGAGGCGTAGGTCAAATTGAAATACGTTCAAGATCAATTCAACGTTGTCCTCAAAGTTCTGCACAACATAAAAGTCCAACTACTTCAATTTATCGTTTTCAGCTTGCTAATTTTTATTTCTGTGTGATACTTTTTCGGAATTTCAGTTTTGGATGGAATATTTTCTACATGTCCATCAATTGGAATTTTTGTGATAAGATTGTCGAACCGTTTTATACTCAAAGGAAATACATTTTTGTGTGCTATTGGAAAACACGTAAGAAGCACTGTTAATATACTGTGGACAGATTCATTTTAGCTTTTAAGCCTTCGAGCATATATAAAAATATTCCAACAATACACCATTCCGAGAACGTGGTATAAAGTAATTCGCGATCTTTGGAAATACGAATTTAAATGTAAAACTTGCTCCGTGCACCGCCGTTTACAACATCATGGAACGGTAAATCGACGCGTTCTGTATTAGGTGTTCGCCCTCGTGCAGTTTTGTACTACGTTAAAAAATAATCAACTCCGAAAACATTCAAAAAATTAAGTTTACGCTCTCAAATTTTCAACTTTCACTTGTTCCTGCACCCGAAACCATTTAAGGTGTTCTATCACTGACATAATAGTAGCTTGATGTCAAATTGTGTTATAACCCGAGCAGGTAATATTGAACTAGGAATGGAGAACCTCGTAGTATTTTCGCTGAAATAATATTTAGACCCGACTCAAAACAGTCAGCCCTGAAAACACAGCCAGAGACTGTGTCGCATCGGTAGCTGGGAAATTATTGGTGCTCTATGTGCTGTCGCAGTAAAACCCTAGAAAATTTCGTTTTTATCTGATAAGCAACAATGTATTTCCTTAAGGTGGCTTTACCCATTTATCCTCTCTCAGTATTTTGAACAGTTCAATCTTACCTTAAAACATTGCGGCAGCTTTGAGTAAATTAACAGAAAGAAAATTGTACAAAAATTTGTCGTTTTTTAGTGTGGCATTCCAGAACCGTTCCGTTTATTTTTGTGTCTTGACAAAATTCAAAATTGTTCCTAAATGTGTATAATAAACTTTGAACTGCCAGTTTGCAAGCTGATTAGCAATATTTTATCGAATGGTTTTGAAACGCCCGCTATCCGAAAAAAAACTGATTGTTAAATTTGTTATTGGATTATATATTTTGTGATCTCAAAATATGTAAGAATGCTGTTGAATGTAGGTTTAAGCTAGATAGGATTGCGTGTGTTAAACTTTAGCTATTATTAATGTACACAAATTATTTCATAAATATATATTTCTGAACTTTATGTGTCAACAGATAAAATGCATTAATTTATAAATAAAGTCTTTTTTCTAAACTTTTGTTTCACTGTGAAATATTCCACAAATACGCTACCTATGTGATATGTGTACAGAGTGTTCATTTAAAAACTTCCCACTACGGATTTATCGAAAATCGCTGATTAAAAGAAAAAACGCCGAGTCACGTCAAAAATTTTTTGAAGAGGGACATCTTTTTAACCAAAAACGACTTCACCCCTTTTACCCTCGTCCCCCTTAAGAATTTTAAATGACAAAGGATACCGAGTAATAGCTTGTTTGAAAGGTCTTTCGAAGTGCTTTATTTTGACCTTTAATTTTCCAAAATCAGTGGATTGATTTTTGAGAAAATTAGAAAAATACACGAAAATATCTCTTTTTATTTCAATAAGTGTTCAAAATGTTGCCAGTTAATGTTTGCCAACTTTACAATTCGTTTATAATTTAAAACGGAAACTACCAACATAAACAGCAATCGGAAGATTAGAGGTGGCAACAAGCAAATAACAGTCCGAATGTATTTCCGCATTCTTTTCATCTCCAACACGAGCAAAAAATTATCGAAAAGCGTTATTCAATCTCAAAATGACGGAAAGCAGCTAGCAACCGTATTAACCCCAATCAAAGCATTCTCTATGTTTGTCGAAGCTGGCCTGACAAGAAGACAGTATGATACCGTTAGAAGTCTTAACAAGAAACTATACCCATGCTATATGATCTTACTAAAGTCTAAAAAAGACTTATCCTGTACAAGAATCTTATAAAATCACTGCTACTTACGCCGAAATTAATTTTCAAGATTTATTAATTCATACTGCTGGCGGCTTTTATTGCATTTGACCGATGTTCTCCAGAATTTAAATAGTGAAGAAAGAAACACGCTAATTTTGACATATAAATGTGATGTGATGGGTCACAGCAGGCAACATTTAATAAAAAAATTGAAAATAACTTCGATTCTGATACAAATATATTCCAAAGTTCATTTGTTCCGTTACAGTTGTCTTCTAGCGAAGGCAGTAAGATATTATGGCAGAACCCGTTACCTTGTTCTCCACGATTTTGGCGGCCCATTCTCATAACATTTGTAAAGGAAACAGTAGATATCACAAACGAGGAAATAAATTATATAGAAAACAAAATAAAGTCTTTGGAACGCGCAATTGAACAAAAGCTTTCTAGTAAAACATGTAATGATGCTTACAATGGTTGATGCGAAAGTGAGTAATGCCGCAACCCACACAAAATCCACGATGAAATGATATATTTGCGGAGCTACACCAAAGACTTCAACGATTTATCAAACAAACTTCCTTGTAATGAAGATTCCTTAAAATTTGGCTTATCAATTTTGCATGCCAGAATAAGACTGTTTGAAGGAGTGCTTCATATTGCGTACAAATTGCCAGTGAAGAAATGGCAATTAAGAAGTGAAAGAGATTAGTTCAACAAATTGGAGATACAAAAGGAATTTAGATCCCAAATGGGTCTTATAGTTGATGTTCCAAAAGCTCGGAAAGAGCAATGCTGGGAATACCAGTAGGAGATTTTTTACGGATCATGAGCTAACAGCAACAATAACCGGTGTAGATTCTCGTCTCCTTTTTCGTCTTAAAGTAATTTTAGAAGCGATATCAAGTAGCCATAAAATAGACAAACAGAAATTTGAAATATGCACGTTGAATTATATTCGTGGCATCCAATGACACCAACTCTTGACAAAATAGTGCTCCATGGACCCATTGTCATTGAAAAAATTTTATTGCCTCGCAATAAACACTTTCGGTTAAAACGCCAAAATTATGCTCGGAATTTCAGCAGAGGGTCTTGCAATCTTGATATCATAGATTATTATTGAGCTGATAACTGGTATGAGACCCACTCCCAGAAAAACTACAAAACCATTTCTCAAGGAAACTGTTGAAATGCTCCTGCCTACAGTATATTCAGATAAGAGATAGACCGGACATAAACAAGACCACGTGATCATCGAACGCTGTAACATTCGGCAGGGACGTATTAAGAGTCACGCAGTACATATTTTAGATAGTAGATGCTGCTTTGCGTAACTTTGTAGTAAATTAGCACAATTCGATGTGTATACGATTGGTGATGAATATAGGATCATGTGGGGGTGGGGTAAGAAATATATAATGATGTAAATATACATAAGGGTTTCAAAATTTTCGCTTCGATTTCCAGCTTCGGATGCCGCCTGATGTTTGGTGAAATACAGTCGAATATAATCTCAAAATGGCGTTTAAATTAGCCTAAATTAAAAATAATCGTATATCTCTTAAAATTGCTTTTAGAATATTGATTAGTATATTTTTTGATTTCTAGGTAAATATGTAACCAAATTAAAACGTTCAAAACGTAAAAAAATGTGCATGGTTGAACATTGTCAGAAAGTAGATTCTTGAATAGGTTTTGCCAAAATGGGTTCAAAAATGTCAATAATTAATTAAAAAATACAGTAGCTTTATAATTACTTATAACTTACCGAATTTGATGAACGACGTCTTTTATTGGAAAGATGATCTTGATGAGCTTTCATCATCGCTACTGCCTGAAGCACCAACGTCAATAATGAATGGCTCGACTTGTTCCTCTAAAATATTGTCCAGTTCCCACATTCTCTTTTCAACTTTGTCTTTCACGTGCTTAATACAGTTTTCCCATTTTTGCGCTGTTATTAATTCTAGTGCTTCTTTGAAAAGTCCTTTGAGGTCACAAAATTTAAAAGTTGTATTGTGCTTAGCTATATAATTTTTAACCTCTGCCCATATGAGCTCAATGGGATTGAGCTCGCAATGGTATGGAGATAAACGGAGCACAGTTTTATTTTGACTTGCTGCCATTTCGTCAATGGCGTATTTTTGATATTCCGCCTTGTGATCCTTGACAATTCTTAATAATTGTACTTTCAGCATTGCTTGTTCAAAGTTGATATTTTTCGAGCGGAGCCAATTTTGAACATCAACTTTCCTTGAAGCCGTTGTTGGGACCTTCTCCATTCTTCGAGAATGATAAGGCGCATTATCCAACACAATTACTGCGTTTTCCTCTAAGTCGGTAAAATTTTTGAAAACCACTGTTCAAACGATTCGCCATTCATTTCCTCGTGGTAATCTCCAGTTTTCTTAGACTCAAAGCACCACAGACCGTCAACAACAAATCCATCCTCACTGCCAATATGGCAGATAATGAGCCTTTTCCCTTTACCTGGAAATCGAAGTACTAACTGGTGTAGATTTATTTCAATAAGCGAACCTTTTTCAAATGTTTTCATCACATTCAGCGAAAAAACATTGAGACATGAGTATCAGATTGCTATAATTGGGATTATTTAGTCATATTGAAAGAAAGAATATTGAACGTCGTACGATTACTCAGCGCTTCACAATTTAATTTAAAGTTATAAACCTTTAAACAATGAATGATCAGGAACCTGAAATACGCGAAAATATTAATATTAACAAATTATAACTTTATAAAGCTTAAAGTATAAATTAAAATGATTAGAAATATTAGGAACGGTACACAATATAAAACTTAGTAACTTTTTTTAAGTTTATAATATTCGACATATTTTAAGATTATATTAAAAATTATTGAAATATCGAAAACACATAAAAACATGGCTTAAAAAAGTTCTAACAAATGAAAATGACAATAAAACATCCACGCATTTTATCGAAAGTTATAAAAGTTTTGTTACTTGTAATATGTTTTATCTGCCCCCTGGAATTAATGTTTAGAACCTTGTTCCCAAGGTTTGAAAAACATCCGATTGTTGTCTATTACTCGTATTTACCTGCTGGATTTTTTAATCCGGTGGATAGTCCATCTAGAAAGGCCCTCCTGGATGAAGTTATAGAATCATCAACCCATACTTTACTTGTAGTGTGTCCTGCGTTTACCCACGTTTCATCAAGGCAATCAATCTTCCTGTTTTGATTTCTATATTTCCCAATTTTTGTTAAATAATCCCTCCTCCATAGCACAATTTCTTCTCTATCCAGTAGTAAACTATTACGACTCCGTTTTTTCCATTTGAAATTTAAATGCTTCAGTAACGCATGGAAAGTTGATCGTGTGAAATTTGGCAACGTTGTATCTCCATTTACTTCCTGCAGTACTTTATCTATAGTAGGTATTTCATTCCTAAAGAAGAATTCATGCACTTTCCTCCTAATCGCATGCTTATCAGCTTCATCCAATGATTTAACAATACTTTTGCGATGTTTACTGGTCATTGGCTCAGAAAAGGTGTGATTTTTTTTTGTATTGTCTTAACACATTAAACACTGATGCGCGACACACCCCAACTTTGTGAGAAACCTTCACAACAATTTCTTTGATGGTTGATGCCTCGTTCTCCTCGCGCTCGATCTTATATATATTCAAAATGACCTCTTTCATTTCTGCACTCAGGTGTCTTTTTTTAGAGCGTTTCCTAGGTGGACTACAGGAGTTTACAACTTCATCGGCAGTATCTGTACTACTGGGCATTTTGCGCAAGCAGTTGATAACAATAACAATCAATAACAAGGTATAACAATAACAACGACAAACTCAACAACTTAATAAGATAACAAACGAAAACGTCCAAAGAAATATCAAATTGCAATGATGCACACGACATACGTAACACGTCTGAACCTGAATGTGACTGCCTTGATACGACTGCTCTGCCGCTCGGCATAGGCATTTAATTGCGAATTGACCAATGAGGGCTCCTGTTTTACGTCGAGACGGCGGCGTTAGCGTGAAAATCACCCGAACCTTTTGTTTACATCCGGTCTATCTCTTATTTGAATATACTGTAATTTGTCTGGGGATAATGATGATGATGATGATGATGATGAAGACTCTGCACCAGAGATAGGAGACTATTTAGATGATTCTTGGTTGTCGTCTTCTTAATAACATTTTTAAATTTTTTTAATAAATATTTTTGCGTTATTCAACTGAACTATACGCATTTTATTTCTTTACCAGCTGTTCTTAGTAGCATTATTCACCATAAAAGAGCTAATTACAGTTTTTGAAGCAACTTTAAATGAAAAACAGTTTTGTCCGGATTTTTAATTCAAACACCCGTGTGTGCGACGCTCCTCCTCACTATGTTCTTCCGGTTCGGCAATGGCTAGACGACTAGTTTCCAGATAAATGGATACGGCGATAAGGGCCTATAGAATGGCCTGCTAAATCTCCCGATTTGACGCCATTAGACTTTTTCCTAAGAGGTCATTTGAAATCTATCGTGTTTACTCCCGAACATGAAAGTTTGGATGAACTTCGTCAACGCATCATCGAAAGCTGCCATGATATTCGACAACGTGTTTTTGAAAATGTCCGTCAGGAATTTGGCCAATAACGGGCAAAATTTTGATCACTTATTGAAATAAAAAGTGATATTTTCATGTTCTTCTTTTCTATCTGAACAATTTTTTGCTAATTTTCTCGAAAACGATTCGAACGATTTTAAAAATCAAACGTCAAAATGAATGACTTCGAAAGACCTTTTAAACAAGATATTACTCGATACCCCTTGTCATTTAAAATTTTCAAGGGGATGACCCTGTAGGACAGGGTGACAGGGGGTGAAGTAGTTTTTGGTTAAAAAGTTGTCCCCCTTGATAAATCTTTCGACATGACGTTTTTTCTTTTAATCAGTAGCTTTCAATAAATCCGTGGTTGGAAGTTTTCAAATGAACTGTATATTGCTAATCAGTTTTGAGAGGGGAAAGTGTCATCTGTATCTCACTGGAATGAGGGTATCTCGAAAAGCAAAAGGAATGTGCATTCTTCAAAATCTTTCGGAAAGTAACTCATGCAGAATATTATTCCTGAAATAGAAAGATAATTCAAACCAGCTATATTAATATGACAACTTTGTATTTTATAATTTTTTATAAAACAATTTTCTTATGAATTAAAGACATTCACATTACAAGAACCTAGAAATAGGATTAAAAATGAGACTTACGAACAATATATAAAAAATAAAATTTATATGCATCACGAATCTTACTAAATTAGGTTTTCCAAAAAATTCGAATATCAACAAGCATATAAGGTATACAGGTATCCTGATATTTGAGAATATATCCAAGCAGTAATCAAGATAATAATGATAAAAATAATACATAGCAAATACATCTCAATTTGAGATGCCTGAACACAAAGTTGTTTTACGAATCAGGACCTCAAACTAGAATAAATCAAGAAATCGTTAAAACGGCTGTTAGTCTAATCATATTAGCAAATTTCCTCGAAATAATTGTAAAGTCGGGTTTTATTGATGCAAGTTGTTCAACGGCGTGTTTAAAACATGGACGCATAAAATGGGTACACCAATTTTTGTGGGACAACTTTTTATTCGACAACAAAGAATGAGAAAACGTGTTTTTTGGGATTAAAATGAAAGTTTTCAAATAAGATTTTTAGAAATTTATGAGACCTACAAAATGAGACCACACGTGAAAAGAGGTAAAATGCAGGTTTTACATGTAGCACTTGCTAAACCGACGATAATTTCACGCAGCTACTTGAAATAACCACAACAAAATTGGAGTCGATTGGTCAAGTAGTTTTTGAGAAATTCCAATTGTTTATCCCAAAACATCTGTATTCCGGCCATCATTACCAATTTGCTGAGCAATATACAGAGTTCATTCAAGGGGCATTTATATATTTATAAGCAAAATACACGAATTTACCTTGCCGATGTGAATCATAAACCATTTCCAAAGTTAATTGTTATTTTTATGCGAAAAACGAAGGGTTACATTTTTTCTTATTTTGCTACGATATTCGAAAAACATACTTTATTATATACATTTTAAAACAAAGCGGATGTGTCTATCACCTTTTGTTACGAAGAAAACATTTTTTTTCAAGATTTATTTATACTCTTGTGTATAAATATTTAGAGCTGAAATTTTTACACGGTCACAGATGAAAATATATACCAATATTGAAATGCGTTTAACTGTTTATAAAGTTAGCACGCAAACTGAAGACACAATTATGTTTCAAACTGCCTTAGACTACTTAGTATGTAGCATGTGCTTTGTGATAAATAAATAAAAAAAAATCCGTGGACCTTTTTTCTAAAAGTATTAATTTAGTATACGTTTTCGAAATCTTGTTCGATTAAAACGACTGCGAGTTTAAAATGTTGGAAAATAAACTCAAGAAATCGAAAAAACAGTAGACAAATATCAACCAATTGTAGCGACCTGACCGTGTTAAGAATTACGCAAAATGCTCGTTATTAGTTCCTAATAAATTAATTAAAGATTCAGCATTGTATCTTGTATAGTTTTCAAGAGTATACTGTAATTGTTTATAAGAGATTTGATATGCTTCCAACGTTCACTTGACATTTGTTAGTCTTAAGTATAGTGGTATAAGGATTCAGTAAAGCAAGAGGGCGTAATTTACTAGTAGTCGGATCTTTTTACGTGTGGTTGAATTTTGAAGATCTCATAAATACCTAGAAATCTTTTTTGAAGAGTTTTTTCGTTCCTGCCAAAAAGTGGTGTACCCATTTTATGTGTCCATGTTTTAAATACCCTCTTGAACAACTTGCACAAAAAAAACAGACTTTAGAATTATTTCGCGGGATATTCGTCTAATATGATTAGACTATGTGTAATAATAGTATTATATGAGAGAGCTACGATTATACCACTATTGATTTCGGGCATACGTCACCACAGGTGCCTCAAATAACTATCAATTTGGACTGGAAGGGCCGTTTTCGATTATCCTTTATTCAAGGACAAGGTTCTAATTTAAAAAAACAGTTGCACATGTACCATATAAAGATGTCAAATCATGTATATTTCCTGTAATATTACAGGGGAATCTCTAGTCGATATCAACACAAGAATACATTATGACGCTTGTATTGGGCAATATTTTCACTGCAATATAAAGTAAAGAAATTGCTACACCTTTGATATTTGCGACCTATTTTCATATCGCTTATCGCTGTCATATTGCTGAATTATTGGTATCCTACTTATATTAGTGCAATCATTTAGCAATTCTTGATTTTATACCCCTTTTGATGAGAAATTCTGACCAGCGTAGGTATCAACATATTGCAAACAATATTACCGAAATATAGCTGATATAGCCTGCAATATATTATAATTAAATTATGCTACAAAAATACTGCTCGTTTGGAAGTTACATTCTTCGTGGATTCCCCATTACACCCAATACCTGTACACCGTGTCAAGGTAGTACGCTGCCATCTCTATACACAACCCACATACTAGAAAACATACTTTTCAGTAATCTGTGGATACAAAATAACGGTGATACCAGTTGGCGTTAACGGAATATATTGCATCGAAATTGTGTGCTTCACAAATGCATAGTAAAAAGGTATGAAAGGCGTTTTCAAAAATGATCAACTTTGACCGACACACTATTGGCTGCATGGTTGCTAGGCAATAGGATGTTGTCCCAGTTCGTTTGCAGCTCTTGCTCGGAATCGGTCGCTTTCAGACTGACTCCTAAGCTGGGCAGTGTGTTAGCGTAGTGCGGGATGTTCAGGATCACAGGCTTCAGAAATTCGGTACCTGGAATTAAAAAAAAATAATGGTTTTTCCAAAATAATTTCTGAATGACGCTGTATAATTCCATAAAATACTGACAGCATAATAACTAACATCACATGACGATGTCGCTAGAAAGCAATGAACTTTTAGATTGTCAGGGACAGGCCAGCTCTAACTCCTACGTCCTGTATAAAACTGCCTGAAAAATTTATTTTCTCTTGTTTTACATCGATAAAATGTGTTGCTTTTAAGAAATACACAGTCTGCTTTCGGCAGTTTTATCAACCATGATACTGGTTGCATTATACTGGTTCCACCATTTTTAATATACAGGAAAACAATTTTGTCTGACGGCTTGAGTTTAATGTGTACGAGAGAGAGGCGCGAGAAGTGTGTATCAAAACATGTTAGAAAGAAATAGAAGCCGGCTAAAGAACAAATGTCATCCACCACATTGCCTAGCAGCGGTGATGCAGAAGGTCGTGCAATATGCCGCGTTGCCAATATGTTACACCAGAAAATGCTTCTACTATAGGTTAGGTTACTGTCAAACCCAAGAAGGAGGTCTGTTCATGTAATTTAATATTTTGTTTTCATTCTGATTAGAATTATTTACCTATTTATTTCAATTTTGATGCAGTTTAATTTCTTTTAGAATTATCTTTGATTTCCACCGATGATGATAAAATCAACACATCCTGAGTTATTGATACATTTTGGGACAACGAGCGGTCAGAAAATGTAACAAATACGATTACGCAATGTAAAGTATCACTGTCTGCGTGTACGCAGATGAAAACCATTTTGAAGCAGGACGACGCTCCCCAATGAGCGCTAGTTCGGTACTGACCAAATCGCTCATCTATGATCATGTAGGTGGAATACCTTGCCTTGGAATGTACGAGATGCGGTGTTGCCAAGCGAAAGAATGATGCAATGTTGCAGAATTTGTGGCGATCCTGACCTATCCATTTCGACGTAAAATGGATCGCCGTTAGGACTGATCTGGAATCGATCCTGAACAGATTCGACACAATTCACAAATCAAAAATGTGTACGCTCCAAAAAAAAACATTATTTGGGCGTAGAGAATAAACTAACGAATATTTTCAACATGCATCTTGATTCAAGGAACTGCTGTAACGTATTGGCAACGCGACAGATTGCCGTATCAACGTGTCTATACACACTTCGCTCTCGTAGAGCCGTTAGACAAATTTGGTGTATACTACTTCTGATAATATGTACATTACCAGAGAATCAAAAAAACCCTAGTCATACATTTTTAGGCTTTTGCCCAACATTTTGGGGATCCGCTGCATTGTGAATCGATAGAAACAGTATTGGAACAACATTATTTTTCGCAGAAAGGCTTATTTTATCGATGTCAGCTAATGAATCAGGTTTTCCAAAAATATAATTTTTGAGTCATTATTATTCAGGGCGTGAAAAATAGCAATATTGCGTTAGGTCTAGTCCCACCCTGTTAAACAAAAAACAAAAGTAAATCGTTTTTTATGATCATCATGTGAGATCCTGAATGGCTAATTGTTGCCAAAAATTTGTATTCCGCCTTACCCAGTATTGTTAAGGATGTCTTTTTTTGTATTCTATACCAATTCAAGAGGTAGTACATTATTTTGATGTGCCCTAGGGTGGCAGCTTAATGTTTGAGACAAAAACACGACTATTGGTCTTTTTAAGGTTTTTGGCGGCTCCAGGAATTATTTTCATACACCCATCTCCCTCATATATATATATATATATATATATATATATATATATATATATAAAGAGAAAATAATCATGCGGAGAAATGTATATAACAAAAAAATAGGAAAATAATGGGCAAATTCCGCCAAAAGGAGGAAAGTGGATTCGAGCAGAAAATAGGATAGGTAACCCGAGCGATACGTATTTCTGCTGGTTGGCTTCATCAGGCCCGAAATGAATGCACATATGCAACTACAAAAGTAGATACATATGCTCATACATCCCGATACGGGTGTAACCTGAGGAAATAAAGATGGATGGGAAAAAATTACACACGAAGTCCACAACAAGAGCCAACCTACACATTGTAGTATAGAATAGCTAGAAGACCTCGAATTTTCAAGGCGACATCTAACCACAACCACGCGGCCGGTATAGCAACTTGCTTTTTGCGGAATTTGCCCATTATTTTCCTATTATTTTTGTTATATATATATATATATATATATACAGGGTGACTTCGAAGTTGAGTCATTTATTTTAACAGTGAGTAGATCTGATCAAAAGAAATGTTTTTTTCCTTTACCATTTTCCTGGTAAAATTAAAGTAACAAAGTTATAGCCCTTTGGAAGTTTGAGTACCGCCCTGTCTCAATAATAATATTATGTGGTCGTGTTTGGCGACAACGGATATAATCCGCCGTATCGGTTCATCGCATCGGAAACAAAAAAGCGAAAGAATTTGGAACGATGTTTTATTTCATTCATTTGTATACAGTCAGTGTCAGTGAATAGTGGTATCTGTTGCGTGGCTCAAACGAAATAAAAAATGGCACATGTTTATGCGGATCGGTTTCCCAATCGAGTGCAACCAACCCCTCGTACCTTTGTTAATGTAGTACAACGGGCTCGTGAATCAGGTGACTTAAGACCTCACAGGGGACCTCACGATCAAATACAGGTCCGCACTGAAATACTTGTCGGGAGGATACTTTATAAAACAAGGTAAACATTTTTTTTTTAATTTTTTTTTTATTTTTACACACATATTTTGGTTTATCTTCCTTCTACAATCATTATCTGAAAATTAATGACTCAACTTCAAAGTCACCCTGTATATTCTGTGCGGACGTTCGTCTATATAGTGTGTCGCTTTTCTATACAGGGATCTCGACTCCTGTCATATCTACAGAAAGATTAAATAGGGAATGTTTTAGATTTAGAGGAAACTGAGTGCATTCGATAGCCGGCTTCCGATTTTCGATCGGTGAATTGGTTTTAGAAATATCGGCAAAAAACCGAAAATGTCGAATTTTGCTTTTTGCCAGTAAATCCGAAACGGTTAATTTGACAGCTGTTAAAATGTGACATTATAATTTTTTTAATGCAAATAAGCTTGTATGGCATGTCTCAATCGTCTTTTGTTTTCCTGCAACCTGTCCCAACTTTTATTTTTCTTATGGCCGCCAAATCGGACTTTTCGATTTTGAAAAGAGCGTTAAATTTCCAGCCTAGTGATGTATCACAAGTGCATAAAAGATTATCATCGAAATATCATCACACGTAATGTTATGTATTAGTTTTTTTTTTTCTAAGGAGACCATAACCTATTTGTCATAAAATAACATTAATGAGTAAGGCATAAAAAACACAAAACACCTTGAATGTTCACTAGAATATTAACGTTAATATCGACTTCTCAACAGGTCAAATGTTTTTGGACACATTCCCAAATATGAGTGTGTTAAAAAACAAGTCAGAAAAATCGTCGTAAATTTATTTTACCCTTGGACAAACAAAATTGTAATGTAATGTAAAATGTAATTATGCAAGTGGGTATTACTTTACAGATTTGAAAAATAACGTCCATTTGCATCCAGACATTTTGACACTTGGTAACTGTTTCTCTGCCGCGTTACCAACATGTTACATCATTCCTTGAATTAAGATTCATGTTGAAAAAATGCGTTAGCTTATTCTCTACGCCCAAATAATGGTTTTATTTGGAGCGAACACATTTTGAAATGGTGTATATATGAATGTGAATATATGTATGTCCAGTCTCTCAGCATCACGTATGAATCACAATACAGAAAGAAGAAAAAATTTCTACACAGATAATTAGCTGTTGCGACAAGTACCAGAATCTCCCCTTTCAGCGATTTTTGAAAATCCGATCCCAACGTTTCCCAGATGATAGCAAGCAAAGGGAATTCTAAATAACCAATAATATCATGTGAGAGAAAAAAAAAACACGAAAGACCCGCCTATAAGCCACACACCTAGCAGATCGTCCGTAATATTCTGCAGACGATAATCGTATTGGTTGACGAATCAGCGTCAAACATTTTTTATTTCTGTTTACTGATAAGAGCGAAGTTTTTTCTGTATTGCGAGAGAAGTGTGTAAAATAAACTCTTCGATTTGTATTGGTGGAGTAAGTATGTTTCTCATTTATTTGCATTTAGCAGCTATATTTTGCAAACAATAATCGTATTGGTTACAAATCAGTCATTTCTGTGCGACAATTCTTTCTGCCGATAAGAGCTCTGGAAAAAATTTGCTTGAATTAGTCGAATTTTATTTCGAGGTAAACATTTTTTGCACCTATTTAGTGTTACAAAAAACACGATTTTTTAGAAAAAATCAAAAAATATGATTCTTTCGATTAAATATAAAATGTTTGAATCTGAAATAAAAAGACCGATCGTTTTTTGTGCAACGTACATATACAGGGTGTCCCGAAAAAAGCGTGCAATATTCTACCAGCGGTTTCTAGAGCTTAAAATAGGAAGAAAAGTTTATATAAACATAGGTCGACAAACGTCCCCTAAGGGCGTTACGGTCTTTTAAAGGGGCTCCCCTAAAGATGTTTTTTCCTTAATATTTCCGAAACGTGTTGAGATAAGGACATAAAATTTGGTATTCCAACGTAGTTTTTCACGCTGGATTTAAAAATATTAACAATTTTAGACAGGTTTGTTTGGAAGCATATGTAACAGGGACGGACTCAGGTTATTTTAGCCCCAAAATTTTTGTGTGATTCTATTTTTGAAATTCAACTTTAGAATTTCAAAATTTAGGGTTTTCTACATAAAAAAGGTACTCTTATTGAATATCGATAAATTGTGCCATTTTTTAATAGAATCAAACTAAAAATATTGTCACATGATAGGATAGGAAATGTAAATTCTAAAATTGAATTTCAAAAATAGAATCACAAAAAAATTTTGGGGCTATAATAACCTGGGTCCGTCCCTGTTACATACGCTTGCAAACAAAACTGTCTAAAATTGTTAATATTTTTAAATCCGGCATAAAAAACTAGGCTAGAATACCAAATTTTATGTCTTTATCTCAACACGTTTCGGAAATATTAAGGAAAAACCATCTTCAGGGGAGCCCCTTCAAAAGACCGTAGCGCCCTTAGGGGACGTTTGTCGACCCATGTTTATAAAAACTTTTCTTCCTATTTTAAGCTCTAGAAACCGCTGGTAGAATATTTCACACTTTTTTCGGGACACCCTGTATAGAACATAGCAACTGTAATGTTTTAAATTTATTGGAGTATTTTCAGAAAATGACGGGAGGAATGGTCCTTTCTCGTCCAGTTCATATGTGTCCAAGAGCGAGCATTAAGGATCGACTTACGTAGTCTACAATTTCCCTTAGGGAAGTCAAGCACAGCACATGTATCAGTTAGTCAGTTTGTTTACCTATTTCATCTGACATTGTAAAATAACCGCTAAAAACCGTGAAAAGTCCTTTATAAAAATTTTCCAACATGTTCGACATTTTTTCATTTATATAAATCGAAAAGACGAGAATCTCAACAGCATAAACACAATGTTAGGCATTTTACAAAATTCAAAGTTCTGACGCAAGCTATACTAAGTGACATATAAATCCGAACACCCAGTTTAAATGGTTTTATTTTAATAAAAGTTGGTGAATATATTTATCTTACTGTAAATAACAAGTGAAAAATTTTTCAGCCTTATCAGTTGGACATTCCGGTTTTTATACTGCTTTTTTTTAAATCACTAACACTCTAAAAATGAATATTTCAGCCGCAGTAAAGAATCAACGTTGGCGGATTTTGGTTCTTGACATCCTTTACGATCGGTTACGATGCCTAGAGTACGGAGACCTGTACGAATTCGACAACTTAGTGAGTTTGATAGTTGCCGTATAGTGGGACTTCGGGAAGCTGGACTTTCTTTTCGGGCAATTGCAGTTAGAGTGCAAAGAAGTGTAGACTCTGTGGTTAGGTGTTGTCAGGCATGGCTTCGAGAAGGCTGTACGCAAAGAGCAAGGGGCACTGGACGCCGCCGTAGAACAACAGACCGTGAAGATCGCCGCCTAAGATTATTGGCCTTAAGGGACCGTTTCTCCACTACCAGGTCCATTGCAAATGAATGGTTTGCAGAACACGGAAGACCTATTGGCATGCGAAGTGTTTACCGACGAATGAGAAGTTTTGACTTGTTTTCATACCGGCCACACTGGGTCCTCCCTTTAACTCGAGAACACCGACGTAATCGCCTTGAGTGGTGCAGACAACGGGATCAGGAATGGAACAGTATTGTCTTTAGTGACGAGTCTCGATTTTGTTTAGGCATGCACGATGGTCGTGCCAGGGTTAGAAGGTGACGTGGTGAAAGGAGGAATCCACAGTTTTTTGTTGAAAAACATGTTCATCACACTGTTGGAGTTATGGTTTGGGGTGCTATAGCTTATGGTTCCAGGTCACCTTTAATCTTCATCAGAGGTAACATGAACGCGCAGCGTTATATCCACGAAGTTCTAGAACCTCATCTTTTACCCTATCTTGACACCCTGGCAGATCCAACTTTCCAACAAGATAATGCCCGACCACATGTTGCAAGAGTCACAATAGACTTCTTTCAACATAATGATGTCACATTGTTACCATGGCCACCAAGATCTCCCGACTTATCCCCAATTGAGCACATGTGGGATATGATGGGAGGAGATTGCTCAATTTGCAACGTCCTCCTCAGACTCTAGAAGCACTTCGAGAGGAGTTGGTGGTTGCCTGGAATGAGATACCACAGGAGGACATTGACCACCTGATCAGAAGCATGCCTAGGCGCGTTGGAGAATGCGTAGCACATCAGGGTGCATCCACACATTATTAAAGGTCAAAGGGCTTTAAAGCAGTGCAATCATTTTGAAATTTTTATCATTTACTTATGCTTCATTAAGTACTTATACAAAATTTTATTAAAATAAAACCATTTAAACTGGGTGTTCGGATTTATATGTCACTTAGTATATTTTGAATAGACTAAAAAAAACGTTTTTACTCTTACCTTGCGGTCCACACATTACGAGAGGCGACAGCATCCTTTCACCTGTTATAACAAACAAAAAACCAAAATTAATCCTCCATCCACACGAATGTACACTGGTTTCCACAAGCTCGCATGCAAATATCACACATACTCTACGACTACGAAAATTACCGTTGTCCAAATCCAGTGGCGGAACATTGTCGCACAGCCTGGGATCCGAGACCACGAAGTATATCCTCTTTTGTTGACCTTCTGGAATCGCACCAGGAGGCACTACTAGTGACACGCCCCAGTATTGATTCACTAGAGTTGCTCCATCACTGCCCACCATAGCGGAACTCACGTCTCTTGGGTTCGGATTTGACAGATCCGGTCTGTTTTTATTGACATCCTGCAGCATTTGGTTCTCGTTGATTTTCTCTGGCTGCCCTATCAGCTTTTTGCTCATCTTTGGTGTGCCTTCGCGGCTTTTCCTCGTGAACGACAGCTTTCGGAATATTTTAGGTGTGCTGAAGCCGCTCTCTGATTTTTGGTGTTTGAACGATTGCGTTTTAGTTAGTTTGGGTGTTATTTTGGGCGAGTTAGTAGCAGTGGACGAGGGCGAATGATTTAAGATTTGGGGTATGTTAGGCTGTGATCCGTACAAAGCTGGTTGGTGGTGGTAGTGACGTAAGTGTTGCTCCACCAAGCCCCTTGAAACCAACAAGAAAGATATTTGTGAGAAATTATGAAGTGATGATTCACAAATGGAATTACTACAATTTACGAATTCTGATGTTTTTATTTTTTTTTATCCAACTGAAGTTGCACAAATAGATTGTGAGTAGCACCTTATCTTTTTTACTGCAAGTTTAGCCACTGTAAGTGATGATGGTTCTGTAAATAGTTCCTTCACCAAGCAGGCATACAGTAATTACGCATTTAAAGGCTTATCTTCAAATGCAGAAGATATGCATTTATGAATAAGAACAGTGTTTCCAAAATAAGGGAAAAAACTAGATTGGTTCTTCCTTGAACTACCCAAACAATATTTTGTCCCTCATGTAAGGCTTAGTATACAAAAACGTTCAGAATAAGCACGTATCTTCGCAAAGAACTATACTTTTCGCGTCATCGACTGCCGAAATCTATATGCAGGGTGGCGTATCAAAAACGAAACAGACGCATTTACTGGCAGCTCAGTTTTTTGTTTGAAGAACGCTCAGGCCCGTCGCTTTTGTTTTCGAGGGGGACACAAGTTTGGCAAAAAATCACGTTAGCACGTGCAGCCCCCTAAGCGGGGGTGACGCCACCCCCAAAATCTTAAATGGAAAGGGGGGTCGAGTGATACCTTATTTTAAAGGTCTCTCAATCCCCTTTATAATGATATGAAATTAATGTACTTCAGTTCAGTAGTTTTGAAGATTTATTGATTTAAAGCTTAAATAAATCTAATACATCATCATTAGTGGAGATCAATACATTTGGCAGCAAAGTAATTTAAAAATGGAGAATGAACTGACCCGTTAGGCAAGTAAATGTTGAAAATGGCCACCATGACTCTCCATGCAATAATAAAGATTTTGCTCAAAACGTTGCCGCACATTTTGCAATATTTGAGGAGTAATTTGAAGGCACTCATTCACAATTCTTTGTCACAGGTTTTCTAATGATGTTGGCTGAGTAGCATAGATTTTGCTTTTTAAATGACCCCACATAAAGAAATCCAAATGTGATAAATCTGGCGATCCTGTGGGCCATTCAATGGCACCTCTTCTACCAATCCATCGATCAACCTATTCGCAATGTACCGCCGATCATTCTGATTTTCAATTATGGCTGTTAATACATGATCTATGGGTCTTCCAGTAATTCCAAATACATTTCACCGGTCAAATTTCCAGGTACGAAAAAAGGACCAACTAAATGATCGCCAAAAATACCAGGCCAAACATTTAATTTTTGTGGCTGCTGTGTATGAACCTCATGATAAATTCTGGGATTAGAATCGGACCAATATCGGCAGTTATGACGATTTACTATGTCATTTAAGAAAAAGGAACATTAATCGGAAAAGTAAGTGTTGAATAGAAAATGTTCATCGTTTATAATTCGTTCGGTCATATCTTCACAAAATTGTAATCGCCGATCAAAATCGTCTTCATTAAGTTCTTGTACCAGGTGAATTTTATACGGATGAAAACTATGGGCCTTTAGAATCCGTTGGACAGTACGTCGACACCACACACAGTCTCCAATTTGCGGATACTTAACGTAGGATCTACATAAACTTGCCCTAAAACCCCCACTTCTATTGCTTCGTTCCTTATGGGATTTTAAATGTTGCGTTTTTTATTGGCGACTGACCCAGTTTCCCGAAATTTACCTACGAGTTCTAGAACATATTTTCGATGCACTGTACTCATGTCGCTCATTAAATATTTCTGCTGTTCTATTAGCGCACTGATTATTTCAGAAAAACATTTCAATAATGTGAACTCTTTCTGCTGTGGAATATACCACGGTTAATTTATGTAATAAAGCGTTACAAGTTATTTTAGCAAAAAAGTTTGGTCAAATCAATCGCAAACTATGTACTAAATTCCTATTTAAAATAAGTACGAGATATTTCCTTATCTTTCTTCAAGAAATAACTTTTTTGCCACAAAAAAACGCTCCGATAGCTATTTTCAACAACAAAATGATAAACAAACCATGGGCGTAGTGAAGAAAAGCATTTACTTATTAAGTAAATTCTTTTAGTCAAATTTCTTCTGAAAGTAGTACAAACTAATCTGATGTACCTATTAAAGTCTACTTTAAGCTTTAAATCTTCAAAACTACTGAACTGAAGCTCATGTATTTTAAATCATTATTTTTCCATTTAAGATTTTAGGGTTGGTGTCACCCCGCCCAGGGGGCTGCACCTGTTAACGTGATTTTTTGCCAAACTTGTGTCCCCCTCGAAAACAAAATCGACGGATCTGAGCGTTTTTCCAAAAAAAAAACTGAGCTGCCAGTAAATGCGTCTGTTTCGTTTTCGATGCGCCACCCTGTATAAATATAGCAGAACTATTCTTACCATTTAAGTGCAGTATGATTGCTCGGAAGTTTTTGATAGAAAATACGAAGAGTAATTTATACAGGGCGTTTCAAATTCGACCCTCTCCACAAAATGCCGCTTAGAAAGTTTCGAAATGCAAAGACCTTTCGGAGAGAGAGAGAGAATTTTCCCAAAATCGTTTTAAATTTCCTCCTGATTTTATTTGTGGTGGGATTTCAAAATAAATTGCAAATTAACACTGCCACTTTTTCTTCTCTACAAGATGGCATGATTGGCATTTCAATATGACATTTCGTTTCTTGTCCTCCGGCATCAACTTCATTTTTTCTTATGGACGCATATCGGATTTTCGCAAGATGAATAGAGTGTTTAATTCTGATACCAAAAATGTATACACGTCATACGTTGACGATGCCAAACCTCAGTTATTTCAAAGGCCTTGATATCATCAGATAGTCATTTTTTTCGTATAGGTACCAGATTTATCCGAAAATCACTTTTTCTGACTTCTTTTGAGATGGGATTTTAAAATAAATCGCATGTTGCCATTGTTACTTATTCTCCTATACAAGATGGCGTAGACAAATTATCAATTCGACATTTCTTTTTTCGACTTTCATAACTAACTTTATTTTTTCATAGAGACGCTATATTAGAAAAGGTATGGTGAAAACTGAACACAAAATGAAAATTGTATTGATGGTAATAACAATAATAATGCTCAAAATGTTGTCCGTTATTTTTTAGGTAAAACCCGACTTCTTTCTTCTCAAACCTCCAAAGTCTGTAGTATGTTCAATTTTAGGTCTGGTATACGAAACAAATAATAATAATAATAATAATAAAACGCCTTTTATTAAAGCGCGAAGTTTAGCTTGAAGCTATTCTGACACTTAACCCAGATGAGATCTGATAATTTCAACACCTACCTAGGAACGTCTATTTTTCTGGAATAACTAGGGTTTGACAATATCAATGTATATGTTATATATTTTTGAAATCAGAATCTAAAACTCTATTCATCTTCCCAAAAATCCAATATGACGTCCATGAGAAAAAAAGATAGTTCATGCTGAGGGCAAGAGACGAAACGTTATATTCAAATTCTAATTATGCCATCCTGTACAGGAGAAAAAGTGGCAATGCTAATGTGGAATTTATTTTGGAATCCCATTACAAATAAAGTCAGGAAAAGATAAAAGTGTTTTTGGGATTAATCTACAAAGTAATAATAATAATAATGTTTATTTGCAACATACAGTTAGGTAAAAATAGTAGTAAAATATATTTAAATGAGATATGTTACAAAAAAGGGCTGAAGGCATTTAAAAATGATACAAGTTCAGCCCTTTACCTATTACACATTCATATATATATATATATATATATATATATATATATATACGTATATATATATATATAAAAGAAAGATCTACCTTAAAAAGCCTCGAATAATAGAAGTGAGTTATAGTACAAAAAAACATTTTTTTTTTCATTAGTTTGGTGACACAAATGATGATGATAATTTCAGGGCCTACCTAAGAAATTCTCCTTTTTTTTAAAAGATAATTAAGGTTTGGCAATGTCCATGTATGACATACACGTATTATGCATATTTGGAATCAGAATTAAAAACTCTATTCTCCTGTGCAAAAATCCAGTATGGCATCCGTAAGAAAAAATAATGTTTGAGGACAAGATATGAAACGTCATATTGAAATTCTAATTATGCCATTTTGTAGAGAAGAAAAAATGGTAAAGTTAATGTGTTTTTTGAAATCAAACTACAAGGTCAGGAAACCATTAAAACGATTTTGGGCAAATTCAGTTTTTCCATCTGTCTCCGGAAGTACTTTGAATTTCAAAACTTTTTAAGCGGCATTTTGTTAATTACCTAAATACGCAACTTTGCCCCCATTTAAGCGACTACGTATCTCTTACAGGGTCCGAGCTCCCAATGATGAAGGTCGAATTTGAAACACCCTGTATATTAATGAAGTTCTGATATATACATATAGTAAGCTCGATGTCCAAATTTAAATCCCCTAGGTTATTCCTTTAAGACCAGTGTTATTAGCTTAAATAATTACTGTCAAATATCATATAATTGGTGGAAAATCGTTAAGAAATGAAAAATTTCAGCATTCCATGTGAAGGAAAAAATAGTCTTGATATTCTGAATGTTTGCTATCTATCTGGAAAACACCCTATACATATAGGAACCTGGTACTCTCAAAATACTGAGTGAGAGATATCATTATTTCATTGTGGCTTATGGCTAACAGAAATAGAAATTTTAGTAACTTTCATCTTTTATATTGATTCAAATAAAATCAATTTTTTGACCATTTGTATTCCACAAATTATTATTTTTTTCAAATGCCAGAAAATTTATACAACTCTGGTCAATAATTCTTAGTGCTTTACGCTTTTGAATTTCGCTATTATCACCACTTTTCAAAAATATGGAATCATTCTTTTTTTAGATTGCAGATAACCGTGAAGCACCCAGTTTTCGAATGCCACTTGTAAAGGATTCAGTGCTTCTATTTCATTTTAGTGCTAAACACCGTTACCATAAAAATAGTAAACATCACTAAAAATATGATTAAGTTTAAAAAAATCACAAATTAGCGCACAAAATTAAAGCACACGTTCTACCAATAACACACAGCAGCAGGCATTTAACACAGGACAACAGACACTAAAGTGACGTACCAGGATCTAGCAATCCAACATGTAGTGAATCCTGTACAAAAATATAAAACATACTTAAAAATACGCTAAAATATACAGAAGCAACCAGTGTACATCACAGCAAACAAACACAAGTGAAGCAGACTGGCATATTTTTGTAGCTAAGTGTCGGATCAGTTAAAAATAAAGGGTAGATCTATTTTAGTCGTTTTCAGTAAACAGATAAACTTTGGCACTTCAGAATTTTGTTAAACGTTATATTTTAGTCTCTACAACCATGCATTGTTAAAATATTGAAATAACAAACAAAGTAAATCGAGTAAGAAGTACTGTGGGATCTTGATTTAAATAGACTATATACCAAGTGACATCTATCACGGAAGTTTACGCTGATAAAATGTTGAAGGCTGTACTTTTTTGAAAAGGGTTTTTTTTTTGTCATATCAGGATCCGAACAATTTGAACATGTTTACTTAATATTCAGTGATTTTTCTGTGTTGGTCCCATTTGTTTCATTGTTTTTTCATTGCATTATCATGCTTAGAGTTCGCAGACGCGCGAATTTCTCTCAACTTTCCGAGAGAGGGTCGGATATTGGGTTAGATACGTGAAGCTGGATTTTCTTTTAGAGAAATCGCTAGTCGGGTGAATCGAAACGAAGCTACTGTAATAAGATGTTGTCGAGCGTGGTTTCAAGAAGGCAGAAACGGACGAGTTAGAGGTACTGGAAGTCAAAGAAGATTGGAGGCAACTAGCACTTAGAGATCGATTTTCCACGATAAGGGCAGTTGCGATCCAGTGGTTTGATGCTGTCGGCAGAGCAATATTTATGAGGACAGGTCTTTTGAACTATTTTCATACCGTCCCCATCTTATACTACCTCTGCCCCCTCAGCATCGTCGGCAACGATTGGTATGGAGTAGGGAGAGACTTGAATGGAATATGGAATGGAACTCAGTCGTGTTCAGCGATGAGCCCAGATTCTTTTGGGCACACATGCTGGCCGTGCAAGAGTAAGGAGGAGACGTGATGAAAGACGGAAAGTCCAATATCCCATCGAACGGCATATTCATCGCTCTGTGGATGTTATGGTCTGAGCTGCTATTACTTACGATTAGTGTTCATTCGAGGTAGCATGACGGACCAGCGCTATATCCACGAAGTTTTACAACCATATCTGCTTCCCTTTTTGGAAACATTGCAAGATCCACTTTTTCAGCAGGACGATGCACAGCTTCATGTGGCACGTGTTAGTTTAGACTTCTTAGAAGCGTATGTTTGAGTGGCCTCCTCGATCTCCAGACCTTTCCCCCATCGAACGTCTATGGGACATGATGGGAAGAAGGTTGCAAAATTCACCGCACACTCCACGAACATTGGAGGGTATATGAAACCAAATTCAGCGGTCCTGGGATACAATACACCAACCAGACATCAATCACCTAATCCAATCAATGCCGCGAAGACTTAACGAATGTGTAGCGAACAGAGAGCTCAACACATTATTAACATTAAGGTGCGAAATTTCCAGTTAAAATTCAAATCACTTTCTATTTATCAGTAGACCTAAAACTTGTAAAAGTATGCTCAGAACTCCTAGTCGGTGCTGCATTTTCTAAGTCATTTAGTATACATGCAATGAAAAGGAATACTCAAATCCGTGTCAAATGACATACAGAAGAAGAATAAAATTAAATCTGCTTTCTCATAAACTTGAAAAAAAAACCCGTATTAGTATCAATGTACATATCAAAAATAAGTCACAAATATCTCTAGAAACGTATCTACATAAACACACATAGAGCTAAAACAAAAACAAAAAAAAAAACGTTCACAAAGCTACAAAAATAAAACCAGCCAAACGAACAAAAACACAGAAAATCGAAAAAAAAAACAAGCACCTACCTCATATTATGGCTTATGGGCTTGCGATAAAGCTCGAAAGCAGATCCTCTTTGCTCTCTGGAACCCTGAAGATCCACGACTGGCGGTCGGGTGTCCAACATGTCGTTTCCTGTGGAATGGTCCATTTTGTATGGGCTGTCATGCTGGTGTGCTATAAAAAATTGATTCGAAATGTTTCAAGGAAGAAATAAACTTGCGGTTATCAGATTTCTAAATCAAGTAAAAAAATGAAAGGTCGCAGAAATTATCTGACATAAAAGAGATGAAGGTTAAAGATGTACAAGTACTTAAAATATATGGTATCTTTACCTCCTCATTTTGTGTTTGAATAAAACCAACAATTTTGGAAACATATCAGTACATATTTACCGATCATTTTGTGAGTGCCAGTGGGTTTCCATGTAAGCTTATGCATTAATGATAACTGACGTGCAAATATCATAATCGCCTTACCTGAATAACTGATAGATTGAATTTCGCTCCTGCTAGCATATGATATGCTGGGATGCCTTCTTGGAGATTCTTGATGATATGGTGGAGCCATCTCGTATCCAGGATATCGTACGGGTTGATCCCCATGGTAGGAATTATGATTTTGTGGGGAGTCGTAATAGTAATTGGCATGATGATGCTGGTGAGAAGATTGCTGCAGTCTCGGATCCTATCATCGAACAAAGATATAAGAAAAATAAAAAAGGCACAAATACGAAAACAAGTATTCAAAATGTTTCAAAGCTTTGATTATTTATCGAAAATGGGTCATTCCATGCGCAAGATATATGATTTCTCCTATACAGCGTTACTTAATGATAGGTCGTAATTACAAAGGAGCGTTCCTGAACTCAATTTAAGTAAGAAAGTTCATATAAACATATGACCTGAAAAGCCTGATGTTCAAGATGTGGGGTATCAAAATTCTACCTTCTGTATGTAGTAGCAAACTGTCAAGAAAAGTCAAAAATGTGTTCGCAACAACAGAGCAATATTCCCTAGCAATGAACAAAGTTGATTTGATTCTTTTATAAATTCTTCAACATGTGATGAAGTTGCTTTTATTTTTATTTTTTTCTCGAATACGAAGTCGCATTTGAAGAAACATCACAAAAAAAGTTTATCATCAGCAGCATAATCCGAGCACTATATATTATTTTTTTAAATCAGTGGTGTACATTTTTTGTGAATATTATTAGTGAGATTGCTCTCTTAGACGCCATTGAAATTCATAATTATGTTCTAGTTAGTGCTAACTTAGCGTCTTATTACAATGAACAACACTGCCAAAACTGTACAAAACCAGCTCAAGGATATTTGAGATAATAATACAAACCATTTTTTTTTCTTTGTTAAACTTTGTAAACCCATTACCTTGGAAACCAAACTTTGAGACACGTTTTATATAAACTTAACGTTTTAACTAAACTTAAAATTGGTTACCGCATATCATTGTATACAAATGATTTTGTTCCATCCAATGATCTACTTTCGGGCATTTGTAACTTTGAACATGACCCTATTTTGAAAAATGTCAAAACAAATTTCACTCGAGGATTTTTGACATTCATTTGACATTTATTCCTCAAAATAAGCGTTCCCGTACTATACAGACTCAACATAAATTTTGGAAGCTAAATAGCTAGTCACTTCAATTCATTTTGAACAAGCCTTGTAGGCGCTAAATTGATATAAAAGATCCGGTATTAATAAATTACTATATAAAATGCAAATTTCAATCATTTGTGAGCAATGCAGATGATTGGGAATATCCCCGTCTCAGTTTGACGCGTAATGAGTGGATTTCACCTGTCCAAGTCCAAATGAATTTGTCAATTTTGAAATGATCATTTCAATATACTTCACGTTTCACAGACTGGATGTTATAAATAATTCCACAAAATATTACGGTAAACATCGAAAATATGCATCAAAATACTGTCCATGTACGGTTGAACCACCCTATGTAACTACTGTAAGGAATTTACAATTTCTTGTAATATGAGACGGTATCTGGAGCATAAAAGACTACCATAAAAAACGACAGACCATTGGAAGCATGCATTTTGGAACGAAAAAAAATACGATTATCATAGCGCAACAAAATAAACAAAACACTGATTTAACAAAAATATTTCCCAAAGCATTTTAGGGGGTATTGTTATTTAATGGTGTTAAAAATAGTGACGTAAATTCATTCAATATTTGATAAACGTCATTGAGATGATCACTAAATTATAAGAAACCAAATAACAAAGGTTTGGGATTTTGTTAATGGACGTTTGAGCAACGAGGTTGAAAATTAAATATTTTGCTCTTTTTCAAATTAATATTAACTCGCTTATACATTGTGGCCGATATGTAACTCACTGGTTTGTATCTTGAATATTTGTGAACTTGAATAAAACACGTACATTTTTTTCATCTAAATATTTTATTGGAACTTATGTTTGAAAAATAATAACAGACAAGTGTCCATCTCTAGAAGTAAACCTTGATGGTCAGTTGACATCACCAAATCCAGAAATCAAGCGTCTCGGAAATATTGTACGCAAAAGATTCATTGCTTCCCTAGCTGTGTGACAAGTTGCTACGTCCTGCTGGAACCACATGTTTTGCAGGTTAAATTGTTCGAATGAAGCTTGTGTGGAAAGTGGAGGACGACATTTTGAACACCTTCTTCAAATACAAAAAAGTGCAGTGTGGGTTTTAAAAAGAAAAACAATGTATGTATCAAAATTGTATTCTCTATTTATAAGTGGATTTTTTAATACGTTCAATAAACTTTCACAGACCAGGTGAAACGCTGAGACAGTTAGTGCTAAGTCCGTTTTTTTAATATTGTTTGCATTTTACGAGTACATTGTAAAATAATGAAATAATACCTAAGAGCCAAAAATAACAAACTCCATCTTTATTTACACTGCGTTCCGTCGTAATTTGCGTCTGGAGTTGCGGCGTTGTTAGTTTTTGTTTTACTTTAAAGTCGCTTTTCTTTAAAAAAAAATGCCGTTTTGATATGAAACTTATCGCTTATTTTAACCCCCTTTGTCACCCATTTCAATAATGACTATCATAACGCTTACACCCTGTATCTCAAAGAGAAACCAGTTACGTAAATACAGAAAACGTCCACCTCAAGCCGTGACTCTTCTAAACCAATAATGCCGGGACACGTAGCGACTAGTGGACAGAAGCATAGTGCTCCTAACTGATTTGAAGTAGTGAAATGAGTTTCGTATCCAATTGCAAAGCTATTTTTAACTCACCACCGGATTACTATGACTCTTCCCGTGCTGATACTGCTGCTGCCCCGCCCCGTTGTACGGCGGCCTGTAATTCTTCGGTTTCGGAGGCGGCACCGGCTTGTACCCGCCCTCGAATCCGTTGTGCCTCGCCTGGGGGCTGCGCAGCGGCGACTGCTGTCTGTGCACGCTGAGGGCGGCATCCCGGAGGTCCTGGTGGGAAGATCGCGCGTACTCGGGAGCGCTAATAGGGGGCGGCGGGCCGATATGCGGGGGCGGTTGCGATGAGTGAGAGGGTGGTGGTTGTTGGCTGGAGTTGTGAGGATGGTTTGCAGCGTTCCGGCTGTAACAAGAATGTGTAATGTAACAAAATTTCTCGTGAAAATTATTAAGTGCATCTGGAACGTCAAAAAACGAAGTTGGAGCGTTTTTTATTTTTTTTGCCCGTAGCTTCGCCACCGCTGCACCAATTGATAAAAACTATAGTGCTGTTTCGTCCTCGGCATAGTGAAAATAACATTAAAATCTGAGCAAAAGTTTCTAAATTAAATAGACAAGCCAAGAATTAGCGGACAGACTGATAGACAGACTGATCCTCCGAAATTATTTTTCGTGATGTATTTTCAGAATCGGTGTTATACAGTCCGTGAAGCCGGAAGCTATACAGGGTGTTCCTTAATGATATGTGAATATTTAAGGGTGTGAATCTACATGAAAAATTAATGTTAGTTTGCTTTATAAACTATGGCCCAAAAATGTTTCCTTACAAAAACTCGGGACGTTGAAGTTTTAGGAAAAAAAATGGAAATTAATTATTATTTTCAGAACCGCTTCAGATATTTCACTGATATTTAGTACGCAGTGAAAGTTAATAAAGTTGCATATTTTTCAATGCAAAAATAATTTTTAGCTTTAACAGTGCCGTGCGTACGGGTATTGACTTGGATATTTTTTAAGTAAAAAATGTACGCCAAGGGTTTTTGGCGAAATAAAAATTATTATTTTTGAATTCCCCGTTCAATTTAAAACAAATGATCTCTCTTGAATTATTTTCCTTCGATGCGCCACTTTTGGGTAAAAAAATAGAAACCGTTCTATTGTCCCAGAAAATTAATGTAATAATTGAAGAATGCAATTTAGCAATAAATATCTAGTTGCTCTAGAATATCTCACTGGTTTTAGACATCTGACAAGTCTCTGTTATTCAAATCTGTTCGCTGTGACATCTTTTTCATTATTTACTTTTTACAATCTTGTTAATAATGGTGAATTATTCAAATGCAGAAATGGCGGAAATGCATTACGTATATGGCCTTGCCGACGGTAATGGTGAGCAAGCCAGACGGATTTAGCACCAGAAATATCCCGATCGTGCTTTGCCAGATAGTCGACACTTTTCTAATATTAATCGTCGTCTTGTTGAAACTGGTTCTGTCTGAAAAGGAACATCTGAAGGTAAGACCTCTAGGTGTGAGAACACCTGAAATTGAGGAAGCAGTAATGCACGAAGTCGAAGAACATCCTGAAACGAGTAGGAGGAAGATCGCTAGACACTTAAATGTTTGCCATCAAATTGTTTGGAGAATTTTAGTGGATTTTTTGTTATATCCTTACCATATTTTAAGAGTACAGGCATTACTTCCAATTGATTTTCCAAGGCGTGTGATCTTTTGTCAATGGTATCTTCAAAAAATTACACAAAATCTGCAATTTGAATCAATGATTCTGTTCACGGATGAAGCTAATTTTTCTCGAAATGCCATTCAGAATTTCCACAATAATCATTTGTGGGCAGAAGAAAATCCCTATGCCGTAACCGAAAAAATTTCGGTTAACGTATGGGCAGGAATTATTAGCAACCACTTTATTGGCCCATTCTTCTTGCCGGGACGACTTGACGGACAGACTTACCTCAAATTTCTTCAACAACAGTTGCCTTTGCTGCTTGATGGTGTTCCGTTAGTAATAAGAAACAATATGTGGTACATGCATGATGGTGCACCAGCGTATTTCAGTGTAGCGGTTCGTAATTATTTACAAACTGTTTATCCAAATCATTGGATTGGCCGCGGTGGACCCCAAGAATGGCCAGACCTCAACAGTTTAGATTTCTTTTTGTGGGGCTATCTTAAGACACAAGTGTACACAAGTCCCATTAACACTGTAGAGGAATTAAGAGAAAGAATAGTTGCAGCTTGTGATAGAATAAAAAACACTCCATGGATATTTCAACGAGTGCGCAATTCCATGAGAAGTAGGGCGGAAGCAAGCATACTAAGTGTAGAGCGCCATTTTCAACAATTTTTGCAATCATTTAGTTGGTCTTAATGTTATGTTTATGTTGTCAGTTGTTGTTGTTCATTACCCCTAATGTGTTTAATTTTTCCAATTAAATTAATAATAACTTTGCAAGTTAGACAATAGAGCGGTTTTTATTTTTTTACTCAAAAATGTCGCATCGAAGGAAAACAATTCAAGAGAGATCATTTGTTTTAAATTGAACGGGGAATTCAAAAATAATTTTTACTTGGCACAAAACCATTGGCGTACGATTTTTTTCTTAAAACATATCGAAGTCAATACCCGTATGCATTGAAAAATATGCAACTTTATTAAATTTCACTACGTACTAAATATCAGTGAAATATTTCCATTTTTTCCTAAAACTTCAACACCCCGAGTTTTTGTAAGGAAACATTTTTTGGCCATAGTTTATAAAGCAAACTAACATTATTTTTTTATGTAGATTCACACCCTTAAATATTCGCATATCATTAAGGAACACCCTGTATATGTCACATAACATCCAAAAAACAAATCTCATTTTCGCGATTACAAAACTTCCACGCCAGTGGCGTAGGGATGCAAAATAGGAATGGTTATTAATCTGGTTCAACAAACTCGCTCTAGCTTACCTGTATTTTCCATAATCAGTCTTTGTTTCTATGTGCGTTTTGGTTGGAATGCCTTGTTTGGCTGGAGATCTCGAATATCTGCAACAAAAAAACACAAATGACCAACTGATCATCAGAAATGAGAGTTGGGTATTTCATAACGAAATTATAACTTTTCTGCATGCACCATCATCGAGTTTCGACTAGAAGACAAGAAAGAAGCACGTATACGATTTGTTTATAACAAAAATTATTTAGTCAGGATGCAAGCAGCAATCAAAACATGTCAGTAACAAAATTCAAAACAACCAAAAAGTGATTTTTAATTGAATATTTTTTGAAAGATATTGGGCACTTACTTATAAATATCCCTTTCAACCGATCCTCTAGGACTAACACACTCCATACTACCCTCCTTATCTATCTCTTGCGAACTCCTGGGACTACTTTCCATAAACTGTTCACCCATACCAGTGGTGCCATACTTTCCCTCTTGTTTTCGTCTACCATCCCACCTCGTACCAGGAGGATATTTACTAGGGCTATTTTGGAGGTTGGTGTCTATTTTCGAAAGGGTTGTTTTCAGGTCATCGTGGGCGTTTGGACCTATGGTGCGTGGTTGCTTGTTGAACGAGTCATAACTTGATAGCGAATCCTGGAAGAATAGTAATCAGTAATACAAAAATTTCGGAGAATATTCATGGATAACCGATGCATAGAAGTTCAAAACAGCATTCGGGTTCCTCAGTAGATCATGCAAAAACTTAGTAATCTATTTTTAGCACGTCCAGGACTACTTAAAAAAATTTAATACTTGGAAACTCATAGATCCTTACACGATTGGATTATGGCGTCACAGTTTATTATAACCTTCTTACAGATGAAATAAAACAAAAATAAATAATTGGGCCCTACTTTTTTGAAGATGCCCGAGGCCGCTCTGTAACTGTGAATATCCAACTTTACACTGCAATGCTTCAACAATTTTTATCTCCAGCTCTTCAACACTTTCCTGGCTATGACCCAAACGGGACCTGGTTTCAACAGGATGAGGCGACAGCACGCAATGCAGTAACATCAAGGAACATTTTACGTGAATTGTTTCCAGGAACTGTTATTTCGAAATTTGGGGACATCACTTTCCCGCCAAGATCACCAGATCTTACGCCCGTCGATTTTTATTGTGGGGATATTTAAAGAGTATTGTCTACACCGATTCTCCAGCCACTACGGAGCAGTTAAAAGACAACATTCGACAGGCAATTAACAACATTCCTATTGAAATGTGTCAGCGGACATTCCAACATTTAAGAGCATCATTGGAGGAGTGGATGGGCGACATTTAGACAACATTGTGTTTAAGAAGTGAAATCCGCATCGCTGTACTTTCAAAATTATCGCAATAGTTTTAATTTAAATTTTAAAAACCAAACCTTACAGACAGAAGACAATAGAGGTTATAAATGGATTTTCTTTCAATGTACGAATTTTAAAACGAGTTTTTAAGCACACGAGCAAAAAAAAGAAAACGTGTATAAACCGTATCACAACTTATTATGAGGATGACATAATTTATTGTCAACTTACCGATTTTGAATTCTGACTTCTTTCTAAAGATCCAGGTTTAGGATTGAAGTTTCCATTTTCGTTCATATTTCCATCTAGCTGAGGATTTGCCTTTGCACCAAACAACCTTTCATGTGCAGACCTACTGTAAAAACAGTGCATTATTATTAATCAATACAAGATTGGTATAGTTCTACAAAAAGCTCTCATAATGGCAATACTATGGTGTGACAACTAATTTTGGAAGTATTGTTAATAAAAAACAAGGATAAAAGTTTCAAGTTAAATTCAATCATCGATCTTTAACTCGACGCAATGACTTCCACGTTGATCTCAAGATTAGAAGCAACCTTATTAATGCTTAATAGTTATATCTAGAGACAAAGTCGTGTTACATCAAATAAAAGTTCGTATTCGTATTATGAGTATTCAGATGCTCATATATTTTCAACACACAACGCAACAGATGATACAGCCCTGCAATTTTGCCGTTAAAAATTACTGTGAAATGATTCACCACAAGGTTCAATTTTGCTGGTCTGATATGGGAAAGGTAGAGTGAGCAACGCTCTGATTCTATGGTCAACTTATTGTTTGAGGTATTAACTTTGAAATAGGTGATAGTTCATTCATTTTTGATACTGTATTTTTTTTATTTTCGCATAGACCACTGTGTGCTGCCATCTTAGGAATGTCGGAAGCTACTGGGTGGGTGGGGTAATGTTTGAATGTATTTTTTCGTCAAAAACTTTTGCTCAATGAACGAGGAATGGTGAGAATTTTTTGCGCCATTTTTTGTAAAAAACCTTTCACATGTTTAAATCCTTTTTTGACTAAAACGAAATTTCAATATACACTGCTCAAAAAATTAAGGGAGCAATAAAAAAGTTCAAATTTTCGTATCTAGCCTTTGAATTTTGAAGCTTTGAGATTCTAGTTTTTAGGTATTTTAGCCGAAAAAGTGTTCTTATATTTTTAGCAAAATGTTTGCCTTCTTTTCAGTACGCGCGCTTGAAAACATTTTTTCCTCTTAGCTCAGGATATGGATCAAATAGCTATTTTATTCAGCTTCAATATACTGTTTTTAAGATCTCAATACGATCATTTGGCGTGGAGATATCTGACTTTGAATACAAAAGGATCTTTTTGTCATCAACCACTGATATCTCGGTGAACGGTGGTCGCAGAGAGAATGTAAGGGTATTTCGGAAAACTGAAATAAATCTCCTATAACGTTGATAGCCTAACAGAAAAAAATTCAAGCCCATGAACTAGAAAGATGGCAAAAATGTTTCAAACAAATTTCCTTGCGCTATCTGTTCGACTTGCATGAGAACCGTTGCCGCTAAAATGTTTCGGCTAAAAATCTAAAAACTAGACTCCACGAGCTCTAAAATGCACTTCTCAAAGTCTAGATTTTAAAAAATACAGCCTGTCAAAAATCACAGAAAAATTTGATTTTTTCCTTGCTCTCCGTTAATTTTTTCGATTAGTGTATATGGTTTCATTTGGCCAGAGAAACATGAAATTCCGCGAGATAAAAACTACACGACAAGTTTCAGATATTCCATTAGAATCTAATCATATTAGCAAATTTCCCCGAAATAAAACATGGACGAATAAAATGGGTACACCAATTTTTGTGGGAAAACTTTTTATTTGACAACAAAAAATGAGAAAACGTGTTTTTTGAGATTCAATCGAAAGTGTTGACAGGATCGAAAACATTTTTCATATGACATTTTTAGGTATTTATGAGATCTACAAAATGAGACCACACGTAAAAAGATCCGACTGATTGTAAAAATGTTATGGCCGAAAAACGAGGCAAAATGCAGGTTTTGGCACTTGGTAATGCGACGATAATTTCACGCAACTACTTGAAATTCTTCAAATCCGTAGGATTCATACTTCTAAATAACAACAACAAAATTGGAGTATATTGGTCAAGTAGTTTTTAGAGAATTTCTAAGTGTTTATCCCAAAACACCTGTTTTCCTGCCATCACTACTAGTTTATTGAGCAATATACAGGTTTCATTCAAAGAGCATTTAATAGCAAAATACACGTGTTCACCTTGCTGATGTGACTCACAAACCATTCCGAAAGATGAATGTTATTTTTATGCGAAAAATAAAGGTTCCGTTTTTTTTTTCTTCTAACTTCATACAATTCGTGTTTGTGAGTAATTGGACAAATGCGCCACGATATTCGTACATATTTTAAAACAAAGCGGATGTGTCTATCATATTTTGTTGCATATTACATACTTACAAATACGAAATGTTTAAATTTGTTTAGAAGGAAAAACGCAACCCTTCCTTTTTTGCATAAAAATAACATTTATCTTCTGGAATGGATTGCGAATCATATCGGCAAGGTAAACTAGTGTATTTTGCTATAAAATGCCCTTGGAACTAATCCTGTATATTGCTCAATAGACTACTAGTGATAGCCGGAGAACAGGTATAATGAGATAAACAATTAGAAATTCTCAAAAACTACTTGACCAATCTATTTCAATTTTGTTGTGGTTATTTAGAAGTACGAATCCTATGAATTTTAAGAATTTCAAATATCTGCGAGAAACCATCGTCGCATTACCAACAAGTGCCAAAACCTGCAGTTTGCCTCGGTTTTCGGCTATAACTTTTTTGCTATTAGTGGGATTTTTCTATGTGTGATCTCATTTTGTAGGTCTCCTAAATACCTAAAAATCTAATATGAAGAGTTTTTTCGTTCCTCCCAACACTTTCGATTGGATCCCAAAAAGCACGTTTTCTCATTCTTTGTTCTCGAATAAAAAGTTTTCCAACAAGAAATGGTATACCCATTTTATGCGTCCATATCTTGAATACCCCCTTGAACAACTTGCAGCAATAAAACCAGACTTTACAACTATTTCTCAAGCCAGGTGTATTTTCGTCTAATATGTTTAGACTATTAAGGTTACTCGTAATGTAAGTACGATTTTCTACGGCGAATCTAAAAAAGATACCTTCAAGAAAAAAAGTGTCAAACACGAACCAAACGTGCTGCCAGCTTCAATTTTGGACTGAAACTAAAAGAGACACCCATCTCTAGAAATATGTTGCTTATTCATATATCTATCTAAATTTCAGGGATTTAGTTGCCACACCACGTAGATCTAAACTGAAAATATTTACCCATTCGGTATTTTCCCTGGAGTAGTTAACAGACCCATAGGTTTTGCAGCTCTGTCAACCCTTGGCGGTAAATCGGGTACCTGTCCATACACCCCTTCCTTCATAGGGCTATGTTCGCTCATCCCCTTGTAACCTCCATGCAAGGTACTAACTTGCCTTTTATGCATATTCATATTCCTTTCTGGACTAAAATCCTGCCTTCTATCTGGTGACCCGTACGTATCATTCCTACTACCGTAATCGTTCCTGCTGTCCATCTTAGAGTAATCGGGAGGCTTACCACCTCCTCCAGAGTACGGAGGGCTTTTTGAATATTCTTGAGGGTTGCCAGAGTATGGGCCTTGGGAATCCATCGAGTTTTTAGGATACGGCCCTTGAGGGTCCATTGATATGTCTTGATTGGAAAGTGTGTAAGTGGGTTCCTTGGTGAGTGGAGAGTCTGTTGGAGTATCAAGTTGCTCGGGTGGTTGGTCTTGTTGAGCGTTGGAATTGTTGAAACCATATCTGGTATCATAGGTAGGCTAAAAAAAGAAAAGTACAATTCCTTTTGTCGATTTTAATTTTAGACTGACATGCCCATATTCACCGTCAGTTATTTAAACGCTAGTTTTGTATCTTGACTTGATTTCAACGAAAATTTTCAGTATGACGAGTAGTAAGGATAAGAATGAACAAAGTGAAAAGTTTGAGCATGCCGATAAGGAAGATGGCAGAGAAGGTTGTCAGAAAAACGTAAACGTAGAATTATGAAAAAAGTCCGTATAAACATGGGCCCAAAAAAATACGTTTCCCTAGCGTCTACTATGCTTGAAATGTGTCTTTTGAAGTATTGAATTATGTTCATCAAAAAGTGCGAACTTGATTACGATTTTTAAATAACGATAAATACAGGGTGTTCCTTAACGACATGTTAATATTTAAAGAGGTGATTCTTGGATCCATTTTAAGAAAAAAAATCACATGTTACTATGTCCTAAACATATTCACCTTTACGATACAGTGCAGTAAAGTTTTCATAAAAATCTGTATTTTATAACAGCTGTAATAATAGATATCTTTATGAAATTTAGTACACAACTATGTATAGTCACCGCACGTCTCAGGCTTTTAGCAATTACCCTTGAACACGATTTTTATTTTTTTAAGCGAAAACCATGCGGCAGACAATAGAAAATCAAGAGATCGAATTTGCTAAAAAATGAATGAAGTTTCCAAAAATGGCTTTTATCTGAAAAGAAAGCAGTGCAGTACCATTTTTTACTCTGCAAATATTCAAAGCAAAACCCGTACGGACGCCACTGGTAGAAACAATACAATTGTTTGTACATGAAAATGCAACTTGATGCATAGAACATGTGTACCAAATTTCATAAAGACATCTACAATAGTAGTCACCGTTCATGGCGGTTACCTCATCAACTCCATTTGACTTTACTGCCTTGTATTTCTAAGAAAGGTTAAGACGTTTAGGTCATATGTTTATATTATGTTTTTTTTCTTAAAATTGGTCCAAGAATAACCTCGTTAAATATTATGTACCGATTATTCAAATAATTTTATTTCGAAAACAGTGCATCTGAACGAAAAACAATTTCCAAGTAGAATCAGTCTGGATTTAACATACCTAGACTATTATTTTGCAAAAACCAGTGAAGTACATTTTTTTAAATTTGTTGATGATACGTTTTCCTATATCAAAACTCAACTCAATATCAATCTATTTTTGATAAATTTAAGGCAAACTATCAAACATGGCTAACTCTAAGCACGCCGAAACGTTATCTGACCCATGTTTATAAGAAATATAGTTCACATTTTACGAGCTAAATATGCGCTTCACTTTTCCCCTAACACCTTGTAGAAGTATTAAGATTGAGAATGTCCGAAAACCTTCATGGTAAAACTATGAAATATGAACCACCACCAACCTGATATGGCGGCAAGACGTCAGTACCGCCTCCTCCACCGCCCCCTTCGCTCATAACCACGCTAGGATCGGAGCTGGCCTTGGTCAGACGGCCTACTACGACGGTATCTGCTGACGTGGTGGGGGGCCCAGGGCTGTGCTCAAGATCACTCTCGGGCGAGCTAGCGTACGACAAGCGCAGCGACGACATGGGAAATAGGAAGTCGTCTGATAGGGACTCTTCAGGCTGGAATCGCAATGAAATGAACGAATGTGAACACAAAAGAGTTAGAAACTGCATGTTAGGGTTAAAGACAAATGTTCAAGGTCACTCTTTGGCGAGCGGCGCAGCAACACCATGGGCAACATCAAGTAGGGAATCGTAATGAAATACACTAATGTGAACACTAAAAGGTTAGAAATTGCATGTGAATGCGCGTGTTAAGGTTGATGACTGGGGAACAGGGTTTCGTCCAACACGCTGGCGCTGCTACTGATGTTAATGTTACGGTTAAAAAAAACATTCTTGGGTATCTTCAGGTTGAAATCGCAATGAAATGGGCGAATTTGAACACAAAAAGGTTAGAAATAGTATGTTAATGCACATGTTAAGGTTAAAGATGTGTTCAAGTTACTCTCGGGTGAACTGCGTACGATCAGAGCAGTAATGACATGGACAGATACTCGTCACTGCTCCTGGTGAGGTATTTAAATGAGATACAAAACTATGTAATATGTTGGGAATCGCAGAAATTGGTTATGTTCATAACAATTCTAGAGCGAGGAAAATTTATTGAGTCTGCAAAATCTAACTTCAAATGCTGAGATGCTAATATTAAACACCAATATTAAAACAGGCCGTTAGAATTGCCAATGCTTGTAATCTCCGAGTTTATCGGCAATGTGAGTTTTTTATCGTTTTTATTGAGATGCTCAAGGTTACTTTAACCACGATTTCATATTATATCCTACTTATTAGTTTTTATGACTCAATTATACCATATATTCATGTATACATCTAGTAAATTGCCATTACTCTTATTTTGGAATGTAAATAGTATGGAACATATGTCATATAAGCGCATACACGAACAAAACTTATTGAAAACCAAATAAACACAATGGTTATGATTCTATAAGTAGCATATATAGTGCTGCTAGGTATCCAGAAATATACTACGAAATTTAACCCTTGATAATTATCTTAACTATTCATAGGGTGTCCCAATATTCCATGAACATAGAAGTAACAGGTATTTTTAGCCTCAAAATAAGTCGATTGGACATGACTTACCTCTATGCAAGTGTCCCGTTTGTCTGTTAAAGCGCATTAAAGTTTTCTTTTTAAGACAGATTTTTTCAAATATTTTTGGAACTGATAGTCCGATATGTATAAAACTTGGAACACATGTGTTTTGCTAGATGTCTTTATACAAAGGGCGGATGTTTTATTCGGGCGAGAGTGGTGGGGAGAGTGCCGTTCCACACGGGCGTTCCTAGTATTTTTAGCAGTAGACATTATGGAGCAGTGGACGGATGAGTACCGCGTTTTCGCGTACGACAGTTAAATTTGTTTTTGAGTAAAAACTACCGATTTTATGATTTTTCAAAAATCGTCCGACCTTTGAGCCGGAGCTGTTATTTGACTTTTTAAAAAATCTCGAAAGGGTTCGAGAATGGTGAAAACTACCCCCACCTCTGCATAAATTATACCAGAATTTTTTCGAAACTGTATTTATTTTTTTATTGAAAAATTCATTATCTACGTCACTTTTTGTCTCTTATAAAAACGGTCCCTCGGTGTTTTCCGTATCTGGTTTCTAATAAATGTTCTTATTACATACATCAAGTGTTAAATTTTTTAAGCCTTATTGTCTTGTGCAGGAAGAAAAATGGTGATTATATTGAACATTTTTCACGAAAGATTCGCATTAAAGAAAATTGTAATAAGTAATAGCATACACTAACTACAATTGAAGAATTTATAGGATATATACTTGGGAACCTGATGCAACTCATTTTTTCTTTCGGGGATGTACTGTTTTTATAACGCCCAATCATCTTGTTTTGAGTCTAAAAATACGTGATACTGCTATGGAATATTGGGAGACCCTCATCATCTTCATCATCATTTTTCTAGATACTATCTTAGTTAACTACTAACTACTTCAGACTTATGGTTACTTAGATCCCGGCGTTGCAGGCACAGATATCCAAGAAAAGAAATTTGAACAATTCTGTCAACTAAACTTCCCCATAAACTTCTTCCTTGATAGGCAAATACTTTAAGGGTACCCTTTTTCTCTTAATATCCCCTACATCATAATAAATAGGCTCAACTCTCGTCTCCAAGTTATTATTTCCATCAAACCAAAATTTATTATCAACAACATGCACATCACGACGTTTATGTTTTGAACGTTTGTTAGTACCAGAAACACGATCCAAACACAAAGTAGCGGTGTTAGCAGGCGTTTTAGACGAGCGCTGACGGTTCCACACAGCAGTACTTGCATTTGCATCGTGATAATCGAAGTCGTACTCGTTGTAGTACGACATGTACGAACATATACATGGCGATGGTTCTCGGTGAATGACGCGAGGTGAGCTGTACATTGACAGGGCGGTTTTCCTTCTGCGGCTTCTAGAATGTCTATGACGGTGCGGGAGAGAATTGGTCGATTTTGGTTGGAGGTAAGGGTAAGCGTAGAAAAATGAGGGTAAGGGGTCATTGGCCTGTAAGAGAATAATGCAGAGTTGAGAAAGTACCACCACCAAGCGATATTTCAAAGGATAACAAGGGTAAAATAGAGAGTTTTTAGTCTTTTGTTTTGCTGTTTCGTTTTGATATTCATTATTTCGATTTTGCACAGTAGCGAGACAATACTTCGAAATAAGAAAGTTTTTTTAATTACAGAGAATAGTGGAAGGTTATTTTCCTTGTTCAGCGCTGTTGCCGAAATTCGTAAAGCTGGGTAAGCTTAATTAAAATAATTTCAAGTTATATTGGTTAAAATATAATATAAAATAAATGCAAGAAATGGTCAGTATGCTATATAAAATGAATTATCATGGATTTTATATGCGCAATTTATTGTAGTTCTGCTGATTAAAAGAAAGAAGAATAGAAAAAACGATATGAGAGATTTTTTCAAAGTTACACTACCTTGCTTTCTGACATCCACAATGCCCCACTTTGTTGCTTATCTATAATTTCCCTAACTTTCCTATACCACGTGTCCGTATTATCATTCAACGTGACAGTGGCACTAAAAACGTGGCTCCACACTTTGTCCAGCTTCTGGCATTGCTCCAGGAGCTTTTTGGAACTCTTATGTGCAGACCTGAAAGCCAAAATATAAAAAATATCAGTTGAAAAATTGATGTTGATTCATTCGGATAGACTTTAGAATCGGTCTTATACAGGGTGTTGACGTGAAGCCGGAAGTTATATATATATATATATATATATATATCGAAAACGAAACAGGCGCATTTACTGGCAGCTCAGTTTTTTTTTTTTGAAAAACGCTCAGACCCGTCGATTTTGTTTTCGAGCGGGACACAAGTTTGGCAAAAAATCACGTTAGCACATGCAGCCCCCTAAGCGGGGGTGACACCACCCCCAAAATCTTAAATGGAAAGGGGGGTCGAGTGATACCTTATTTTAAAGGTCTTTCAATTCCCTGTATAATGATATAAAATTAATATACTTCAGTTCAGTAGTTTTGAAGATTTAATATAATTAAATAAAACTAATACATCATCATTAGTGGAGGTCAATACATTTGGCAGCAAAGTAATTAAAAAATGAAGAATGAACTGACCCGTTAGGCAAGTAAATGTTGAAAATGGCCACCATGACTCTTCATGCAATAATAAAGATTTTGCTCAAAACGTTGCCGCACATTTTTCAATATTTGAGGAGTAATTTGAAGGGACTCATTCACAATTCTTTGTCGCAGGTCTTCTAATGATGTTGGCTGAGTAGCATAGATTTTGCTTTTTAAATGATCCCACATAAATAAAGCCAAAGCTGATAAATCTGGCGATCTTGGCGGCCATTCAATGGCACCTCTTCTACCAATCCATCGATCTGGAAACGTCTGATCTAAATATTGTCGAACACGTAATGCGTAATGTGGTGGGGCACCATCCTGTTGCAACATCAACCTATTCGCAATGTACCGCCGATCATTCTGATTTTCAATTATGGCTGTTAATGCAGGATCTATGGCGTCTTCCATGCAAACTATGGGCCTTTAGAATCCGTTGGACAGTACGTCGACTAACACCACACACAGTCTCCAATTTACTCTACTTAACGTAGGATCTACATAAACTTGCCCTAAAACCCCCACTTCTATTGCTTCATTCCTTATGGGATGTTGCGTTTTTTATTGGCGACTGACCCAGCTTCCCGAAATTTAGCTACAAGTACTAGAATATATTTTCAATGCACGTTACTGTTCTCATGTCGCTCATTAAATATTTCTGCTGTTCATTTACTTATAGTAAATTCTTTTAGTCAAATTTCTTCTGAAAGTAGTACAAACTGATCTGATGTACCTATTAAAGTCTACTTTAAGCTTTATATCAATAAATCTGCAAAACTACTAAACTGAAGTACAATAATTTTATATCATTATAAAGAGAATTGAAAGACCTTTAAAATAAGGTATCACGCGACCCCCCTTTTCCATTTAAGATTTTAGGGTTGGTGTCGCCCCGCCCAGGGGGCTGCACGTGTTAACGTAATTTTTTGCCAAACTTGTGTCCCCCTAGAAAACAAAATCGACGGGTCTGAGTATTTTTCCAAACAAAAAAATTTAGCTGCCAGTAAATGCGTGTTTCGTTTTCGTTGCGCCACCCTGTATATATATATATATAGCTCTATAAGGTAGAGAAAAATGAAAAGCTAATTCCAACCGAAATTTTTACTTAATTTTCCGGTAATAATTTTCATATTTTGGAACAATACTTACTTTGGAAGGCCCTGTCTCTGCTGCTTGATCACAATTTTTGTTTCCGCCTTGAAGAACACTACAATCGGATACATTTGAGCATAATTCAACCTTTCCACTGCGTTCGGAGTGATGTCTAATAATGCATGCTTGCCTGTTGCTATCACATCTCTTATTGCTGATAACCTTATTATATTTGAGTTATTTGACGTTTTTGACTTGGCGTTGTTCTCTTCTGCTGAAGTATCGAGCTCTAACAAATAAAAAAAAATAAAGATAAAAACTTAATTTTTAAAAATAAGGTATTTGTAAAATAAATAAAATATTGGAAACTTACGTGGTGAAATGAACTTGTCTGGAAAATCTTTCAACAATTTTTCTCTAGCGATATCCGCGATTGGTCCAAACATTATTACAGGTCTCGTAAAGCCTGGGTGTTTTAGCAGTACCCTAGAATTATACAATTATTTGTTAGATAAGACGATTCCACCAAACATAGCGAAAAACCGCACCCAAACACGTTTGGGAGTTAATGCGTTGAGAGTGAATAATTATATGGAAAAATGGGTCTAACTTTTAAGCATCTCTCATTAAAACACCGATTCAGTGATCTTCAAAATAAACCCTTCCATCTGATTCCCCTTTTAAGCTGAACCGATTTTCATGAAATATAGCTGAGAACAAATTAAAAAGTAACTACAATTATAAAAAGTTTATGATTAGTGGATGTGAAAATGATTGGCTAGATACACAAGATCAAGAAACCAATCTGTAGCAGTTCTACGAAATGAAAAGAAAAAATATTACAATGCCAAAATTGATCAGAGTAAAAATAATAGCAAACATATGTGGAAAACGTTGAAAAACATTGTTTCTCCTAAAAAGTACATTATCTAAAATAAAATTGGACGATGGGGTAATAACAAATGAAGAAATAATAGCAGATCGAATAAATACCTCTATTTCATAGTGTCAACGAAAGTGTAAAATCAATTATAGACGGGGATCCCAACCAATGTCCCATTAGCTCAGATTATAATCCATCATTCAGTGAGTTTAGAACAATAAACATTAATCGTCTCAAGAACATTACATCAAAAATTAAATCAAATCAAAATAAGAGTGAGATTTTGTCTAAAAGTGTGCTTAATGAATGTTTTGATATTATTGGAGCAAGAGTATTAACCCTGATAAATTACTGTTTAAAATATGGCGAATTTCCAACAAAACTGAAGTGTTCTACTATAACTCCTGTTTCTAAAGTTAAGAATTAAGTTGTACACCAATATGCGGCCAATAAATGTTCTGCCAGATGTTGAAAAATTTTTTGAAGTAATTATTTACGAACAGATCATCGAATTTATTGAGGAGAATAACATTTTAACCTAATTTCAAGCTGGATTCAGGAAGAAACACTGAAATGAAACGGCAACACAAATGGTTTTAGAGGACTGGAGGAGATGTATGGATAATCGGAAACATACGGTAACAGTGTTTTTGGACTTCAAAAGGGCGTTTGAGACTATTGACAGGAATGAATTACTTACAAAATTGCATCACTACGGATTTAAAGGATCTGAATTCAAAATTCTACAAAACTATTTAATTGATAGAAGTCAAAAAACCAAAATTGGATCTACACTATCAAGATCAAAAAATATTTCTGTTGGTATACCACAAGGTAGTAAACTAGGTCCACTACTATTTATTTTATACATTAATGTCATTTGTAATATTTTAGATTATTGTAAACTTCAGATATTTGTAGATGATACATTAATATACATATTAGATGAAAATATAGACACTGCTTTAAAAATGCTAAATTCTGACTTGGCAAAAATCGTAAATTGGTTAAATGTAAATAAACTAAAATTGAATACTTCTAAGACAAAATGTATGCTGATAGGGAAATATCTAAATGAAAATAATATCACAGTTAGGATAAATGGAGAAATTATTGAAAATGTTGAATCAATTAAATATTTAGGTATATATATATATATATATATATATATATATTGATAGTAAGCTAAAGTTTGAGAATCACTATGAATACATTATTTCAAAAATTGCAAAAAAAACAAATTACTTTTATAGGGCTTCTCATAGTCTTGATACCTATTCCAAGAAAATAGTTTATTCTACCGCATTTGCTATATTGTTCAACTATCTTGTTCACTGCCAATGAAGCTGTATTCTCAAAATTACAACTCTTGCAAAATAAAGCTATGAGAATAATATTGAATAAAAATAAGTACATCAAAATAAAATCTATGTTACAAGAATTGCAGTGGTTGAATATAAAAAATTTCATATCATATTTGGTTCCTATTTTTATATTTAAAATAAAAAATCATCTTCTTCCAGAACACTTAGAACACTACATAGAATTGAATAATCATTATCACAATTATTATACAAGAGAAAATATATATTTTCATTTACAAAATTGCAATAGTAATATAACTAGCAAATCAATAATTCAGAAAGAATTAATTGAATTTAATAAACTATATAATGATATAAAGTCTACTTGTAATTTAAAGATATTTTAAAGAAAATTAAATTAATATTTCATGGACATTCTTAGAGATGCAAATTTTGTTTTTTTTTTTGAATGTCTGTATGTTATGTATATAATAAAAGAATGTAATTGCAGCAATCATGCTAAATAAATCTCAAACAACAAACAATATCGACACACAGGACTCTCAATTAGAAAAAACTATACTCAAATTAGTCCATCCCTTGGGGAGCCACGATGCGACAGACAAACGTACAGATACACACAAAAATATAGAGCTTGGAAAATCGTAATGAGAATGTACATCTTAGCGTACCTCTCGTATGCTGGGAACTTCGAAACAGTATCCGAAAATAGGATGTCATCCCAATGTTCTTTTCCCAGACTCTTAGATCTTCTGTTAGAGCTTCTACGTCTCCTGAAGAAGCTACCTCTCGATTCGTTGGCGGACATTTCTTTTTTGGTTGCATTGAACTGAGCTGTTGCCAGTTCCTCAGCTCGAGATTTGTTTGGAATTATTCCTTTTTGTACCTCTTGATTATTTCGACCTAAAGTAAAAATACATTCATAAATAATAAAATAACACGTATATGAGGTCAAGAAATTATTTATGAGCTTTACAACACATTATAACAACAGGTGGTACAAGTATAATAATAATCAATTATCGGGTTACTTTTATTATGGAAGAATTGCAATTTTCGATGTCGATCGAAATCAGCCAATATCATTAACAAAAATAAGGAATAGCCTGGGACCAATGTAAGATCCTTGCGGTTCACCTGACTCAACAGTAAAATAAGACGACACTTCGAGTGATAACTGGCGACCGTTATCAAACACTGATGCACTATTTGCCGCCTGAAATTCAGGCTATTGGTATTCATAATATCAACAATTCGGCCTATACTATGTTATTCCCCACCCATAGATTTTTGGGGCTGCACAATAGAAAATTAAAATTCCAAAACAGAGCATGTTATGACTAATGTTTGAAAAATAATTTCCTAAGGAATTACTATTATTATCTTTCATTACGAGTATTTCACTTACCTATCCTAAATACTTGCCAACATCCTACAACGCCATTATACAGCGTGTCAATAACATGGAATATATCACCAGATCTAAAGGACATTTCTCCCTTAGCGGGATTGTCATAATGAAAGTGAGTTTTGATATAGAAACTGTCGCCTTTTTGAGATGCTACAATGTTATCGTATTCTTCTTTACAGTATTGCACAATTAATTCTATCCTATCTTGTAAGCTGAGAAGGAACAGGACGGCGTCTTCTCTAGTGACTCCATCCATGTCCATATCGTTCACCTGAAAAAAAAGTGGCTTCAAGTAGGCACACAACGCTCTTATCAGTACCTAAAGGAATATGTTCAGCATAAACTAGATCATCTGAGAAAAAATTCCATATAATTGTCCAAAGACATCTGGAAACAGCGCCTCTCCCCGCTGCCTAACTCGGGCAGACGTGGCAACATGGTAGCTCGGTCAGAGCGTAGAAAACACTATGATATTGGGTGTGATTCCATACCAGAACAATCATCACGCGGAGACGTCTTCAGCAGCCGCGGCCAATAGGTACGCGATTCGTCCCATGCGAATATTTTTCTGATTTCATGGCTAATGTACAGAGAAATCTATGGGGTTGTCCAAAACGGACGCAGGAAAGTAAACGCATATTAAAACAAGAAAGATTGATATTCAAATCAAGTTGGGTACTTTATTTTGAAGGTTCATTTATACCATTTATGTATGAAAAATAATATCGCTCAAATGTTCACCACGACTGGATTTACAGACGTCCACGCGATGGTCGAAATTTTCAATGACATTTTGCAACATGGTCGGTTCTATGGCATTTATCTCGGCAATGATGTTGTTTTTGAGTTCTTGGAGGGTGGCTGGTTTGTTGACGTAGACTTTGCTTTTCAAATATCCCCATAAAAAGAAGTCCAAGGGAGTCAAATCGCACGATCTTGGTGGCCATGGCACATTTCCTCTGCGCGAAATCACGCGATCACCGAAGAAGGACTGCAATCGATGGATATTGACGTTGGTTGTGTGGCATGATGCACCGTCTTGTTGGAAATAAATATCGTCCATATCCATTCCTTCAAGTTGCGGCAAAAAATAGTCCTCTATCATCACGTGATATCGCTCAGAATTGACGGTAACGGCGTCCCCGGCCGCATTTTCGAAAAAATAAGGTCCGATGATGCCTTTTGACCACAATGCAACCACACAGTCACTTTTTGAGGATGCATCGGCTGCTCTTGATACTCACGGGGATTTTCGTTCGCCCAGATGCGGCAGTTTTTCTTGTTTACCGTCCCATTCAAAGTGAAATGCGCTTCGTCGCTGAACATGATTTTTGATGAAAAATTGGCATCAATTTGGCGGTGTTCAAGGAGCCAATCTGAGAACGTTCGGCGCGAAAAATGGTCGGCCCGACGCAGCTCTTGCGTCAATTGGATCTTGTATTCATGTACATTCAAATCCTTGTGGAGAATGCGGAGCAAACTGGTTCTCGAAATGCCCAATTCTTGAGATCGACGCGTTGTTGATTGTTTCGGATCGTCTCTCACACTCTCCTTCACAACAGCAATATTTTCCGGTGTGCGAACGCTCCTTGGCCGGCCAGAGCCTGGCAGATTTGCCACAGAACCTGTTGCCTCGAATTTACGCACCAGACGACCGATGGTTGTTTCATTTGGGCGGTTGTTGCGACCGAAATGTTCACGAAGCGCGCGAAACGTGTTTTTTATTTTTGCACCATTTTTGTAGTGCTCTTGAATAACTTTAATGCGGTCTTCAATCGAATACGACTCCATAGCGATCAATGGTAAACATTCAACTAATAAAATGACATGTCGGTGACAGAATACAAAGATGGCGTCTATGTCAAATTGACGTTTACTTTCCTGCGTCCCTATTGGACAACCCTTTATGATGTGTGAAGTACTATATGTCTAATAGTGCGTGGAATTACCAACATTGGAAGCGTATCAGGTTACCAGCTTGATTAAATTGAGATACAACCTGTACCACGCCCAATTTTTTTTACCTTTAAAACGTCAAAAAATGAAGTTTGAGCTGTTTTTACTTTTTTCGTTTTAGGCCTTTTTCTCTGCCGTCATTGGGCCTATTTTCAAACACTACAAAGCGTTTACGTCCTTGACATAGTACCTAGTAACATTCTGTAAAAATTTTGTCGAAATCGAAGTGGTACTTCTCACGTTGTAAGCGGTTATAATATTAGCGGACAGACCGACAGACAGACAGCCCGACAGAAATTAATGATTTTTCATGATGTACATGTCATGTAAAATCCAAAAAACATATCTCATTTTCGAAAATTTTCACGATTACAATACTTCCCCGCCAGTAGGCATGAGAAGTAAAAACTGTGTAAGATGGTTCTAATAAAATATCACACCTTTTTTAGAAGTCTGTTCAAATCCTAATTTGAATGTTTTACTGAGGGAATTAACTATAATATAGTATTTCTAATACCAAAAGAAACAGCAAAAAACCCGGAGCTGCAAAAACGGTGTGAAATCTGATATAAATAAGTGAGCATAAGAACTATCGAATCTCTTGCCATGGGCGTACATAAGAAATGCTACAAGGGGTCATTTGTATTGCGATGATGACTGTAGTTATCATGTGAAACAGTGAAACCCCTACTTAGATGAGTCATCATTATCAGCATTTGAATTAGTGGTATGCTGACGCGTTGAATAAATTTTGCGAATTTTGTCATCAGGCTAGTTGTTTGAAAGATCTGGAACCATCACAAATACCTCCATATTCAGCGCCGTCATTACCTTAAAGATACAGTGCTTTTCAAAAAGTCCACTCCCCGCTGTATTTTTTGATCGGGTAAAGTCAGCATGCTAAAATTTCAAGATTGCGGGAGGTTGTCATCTTCGAACATTTTTTCAAATGGAAAGGTGAGTCATATGATACCTGATATTGAAGCCCGTCATGAGTACCCTAGGATGTAAAATCACTATATTTCAAAATAACGGACCGTTTTTGTACATGCTACCTTTTTCAAAGCATGTTACTACGTAGTATCATAGTATACATCGTGTAAGAACACATCTGCACTAGTTTAGTTTAATAATGATTGAATGCCATTCATATACTTTTTCAGCATGCTGTCACCTAGTTTCGAATGCTGCCTAAGCTTATGTGTAATAAGATACTGCATAACTGTAAGACTGTCGTAAAACAACCAGAAGCCTCATTTTCCGACTATATTCTTATGATTTATTACACTCACTAATACTAACGATGATTTATTGCCAAAAGATTGCGTAAGTAACAGAATAAGCTACTACAGTTGTTAAAATACCGCGTAAGAAGTAACTTCCACGAGTAACTATGAACTGATTATGAGCTGACACATTTTCGTTAAAATCGACACACGATAGTAGAAACTCAGCAGGGTTTTGAGAGAAAAAAATGGCATCAAACAGATCCACTCTGCACTACCCCCGAAAAGCTGTCATCAGTTCATAAAAGATCAGGTTCGGGTATTTCATTATTCTGTCTCAATGGTAAAAAACTATGGTGGAAAACTAAGTAAAATATAATAATAATCTTTTTTGACCTTGATAAGGTACAACACCAGCTATATTCCACGATTAACCTGCCAAAAAATTGACACCACCGACCAGCCCCCCCCTTTATACGTCAATTTTTTTCCAAAAATGAGCAGGAGTCTCTGGAATGTCAAAAAGAGGATTGATCGAATTTTGCTTTTTTTGCCCGTAGCTATGCTGCCGCTAGATCAATTTATCGTGTCTTTGAATATGTCGGAATCTACGCGCACTGACTTTGTGAATACAAAGGCACATCACGCTAGCCGCAGCGCACGATGTATCATGATATGCTATGTCAAAACTTCATCAAAATCCGCATGGGTATCATGTAAAAAACCTATAAAACGTCAAAAAAACCTATAAGATGTCATCTTGCAAACTAAGTAGTTTTTAGGACACAAACAGTCATTCCACGTTTGCTCACTAGGATCGTTGTGAACGTCCATCTAAGGAGGAATCACTCAACTAAACTACACGCATTATTGGTTGCATATGTTTTGTGAGGCCAACTGTAGTTTTTATCTCTGAGAAGAAAGTTGGTTGAATAGCAAGATCGCATCTGGATGATTATGTGTATTGGTCTGCATGTGTAAATGAAAATCATTACTGAATATGCTGCCAATGAAGTATACCTATTGGCTGTGTCCGACGGGTGATTTTTATGTTGTGCTTTCTGATGAGAGGTTATGTTCAAAGTTATAAATTACGAAAAACTGAGGATAATTACGGGAAATCATCACCGCGCCCGCGTTGTGTGTAATTACTGTTAGCATGTATATGGCTTGTAATTTGACAGTGTACAGTGAATATAATTATTTCTTATCTCTATCATTTTTCTCAATTAAGTGTATTTGAGACAAGAACCCAATGTAATTATCATCAACACATACAACTTAGACCTCCAGTAGTGCCATCTCAGAAGCAGATTTTACATCACATCAGAGCCAAAGATTCATAACAAGCCTCATGGCAACACTACAACTAAGTGCTAAGTTAACATTTTGTAGAAAAACCAACGGCATTATGTCACTTTTCAAGATACGTGATAACCGTGCTGAGCGGTACAAGTTATAGAGAGGCCATCAAGGATACGTGGTCAGACATAGTTTTTCGTGATGTACATTGCATCTTGGATCCAAAAAGAGAATATCTTATTTCCGAGATTTTTCGTCGTTACAATTCTTCCTGGCCATTTGGAGTATCCATTATATCGGATCATAACAGATTCGTGTGCTGTCACTCATACCCCTTTCATTCGGTTTCAATACAACTATTTACATGGACTTGAAAATGGCTAACCATTGGATAAAAGGAAGCTATTATCGTATTTTGGTTGAATAATAGATCAATAAAAGGAAAATTATACCCCCTCTCAATTTATCATAACAACATCCTTGTTTGAATGCCTATCAAGTCTGAAAGCATCACGTCCCAACCACAATATAGAGAGATGTAAAAATTTGTACAGTTACTGATTGAAATGTGAGGGCGTTATCTCGAATAATAAGTTTTATCAAGAAAAATGTTACATGATAAACTTAATGAATCAAAAATTCATGTAATGGTGACCTTGACTATGACCTTCACGTTTATTTGAAGGCCAGAAAGATTTTCTTAAATGAAAACCTCTATTTCTGACACCGTAAATAAAAAGAGCAAGAAACTTTTATGTTCATGTATGTCCATAACCATCAAGATTCTTTGAAGATCAAGTGGGAAACATCTATGTTTAATTCCTGAAATGCAAATTGCGGACAATTTTAAGTTAAAGTATATCCTGATCATAATCATCAATGTCATTTTAAGATTAGATAAATTTTCAGGTAAACTGCTTAATTTTTTGTCAAGGATATAGAAAAGCGAAACATCGATGTTAATTTATTGCAGAATTAAAATGTTCGATAAAAAGTGTTCATTGCCAAAACCTATTACTTTACATTACTTTAAATATTGCATTTCTTTTTTCAGTAATGCAAAACAGATGACCTATATGTGATACTATTTCCACTCTATCAGAGCCGCGGGTTAAGTCTAGCATACGAGGGCTGTAAATTAAGTAATGAGACTGGCAACGTAGCGTTCGATCTGGCAACGCTGGAGGGAAGACAATGGGACAAATGATCCGCCTTCAGTACAAGTTTGAACTCGCCCGAGTCATTTGGTTGTTAGCAGCGTATTTTTTTGTGAAACAATATTTTCTATTGTGTTCTAAAAATGAGTGTACATCAATTTGGAGCATGCTGATTTGTTTTTTTGATATCCTCGGAACCGTCCGCAGTTTCTACCTCAAGGCCAAACGGCCAATCAACATTTTTACCAGGAGGTTCTTGAAAAACTTTGAAAAAGGATCATTCGTCTGAGACCAAATATCAAGAACAACTTGGTGTTGTCAATAAACAAGTTTTTGGCCAGTAAAATATTCTTATGGCTCCTCAGCCTCCTTGAGTCCATGTGACTTTTTGACTCTTCCCAAGGTTAAAAAATCACCTCATTTTTGGACAGTCGAAAACATTCAAACGGCTATAACCGACCAGCTGAAGGCTATTCCAGTACCCAGTGCCATGAATCTTAGTTTATAAAGTTTCGTCAGTCACTTTCCTCCTGAGATTGTGGTGTGAGCGCCAGTTGCTTAACCTCCAGATGCTCGGATATTAGGTGCCAAACACCACAGTTTGTGGAGTACTGCCCCTTCATATAATACCTTACGTCTAGTTCTTTTGGTTTGGGTGCTACCCCGTCCATTTTCTTATGGGTTTTTAATCTTCAGCGGTAAGTTTTTTTTTATTATACCATCGGACCACGTGCATTAATGAAGGCACTATAATGAGAAGTGGAAGAACCGCTTCCAGCGCTGTGTGGCTTCAGAAGGAAGTTGTTTTGAGGCTGGCAACATAAAATTGTAATTAAATTTTAATAAAGAAATTAAACAGTCTGACTTAATTTACAAACCTCGTACAATAAGCAATGTAGAATATATTAAGGGTTACATAAAATGTTCATGATTATACAATAATACCTTTAATATCTTATCACCAGGTTGCAATCCCTGCAAAGAAGCCGGACTACCAGGTTGAACAGCTGTCACGAAAATCCCTACGAAGTTTCCACCTGTCAACCGTATTCCAACAGAGCCTTCCTTAAGGAAGGTAATGAATCTTGCGTCAGGTCTGAAACAAACAGAATACAGATTGATTAATGGTTCCTTTCATCACTTCACGCTTTCCACGCATAACGCTTATTAGCAATACTTCTTGAAATATGCATAGGTATATGTATATGAAATGTCATATAAATCACTTACATTGGATGTTTCGTTTTCTGTATGATTGGATCGTCATCATACATTTGCCTCCGGCTCCCATAATAATCTGAAATAGACAAAAGTTGTGAGATGCGTTGTAATGAATACAGCTTTTTTAACCATTTGCGGGATGCTGATCTTCAGGAAAAAACAGCACTCCATGCATCCTGATGATATTCTGATGTTACCACGATAATTAATGGTTGTCTATGATTTAGGCTTAACAATGAAATAAGCAAAAAAATAGCTCAACTTGCGATGTGCAACTTTGGATCGAGAACAACAAGCTGAATTCCCCCAAATAATGGGACGTTTTAGCTGCTCACTCATTTGAACTAACAGTGCTATCACTTGTAATCTTATCTTGATGTAATATAAGATATAGTTCAAAAATAATAAGCTTCATTTAGGTGTATGCTAGCTTCCTGGAAAGAGTATTTCCTCTAGGATAACCACTACATATATGCAGTATGTTTCAACCAGCACTACAGCTGGGGTATCATATGGCAGGACGAATGAGGATACGTTAATTAATGATCTTCTTAATGCTGTCTGATTTGTGTGATTTGGCCAACAGTGGACAGAAAATCAAGCCAGTGTTGCCATTTATACTACCCATAATAACTGACCGTAATAGTGGTGGTGACATACGTACTTTATTAAAGACATTTAAAGAGTCGCGAAATCTGGCTGCAAGAAGACAAAAGCACAGAGTATCTTTGAAACCCCGTAACTCTCATATTAATGACTTGCCAGATGTCGAGAAGCTGTTCGAAGGGATAACATACGAACAAATCATTGAAATTATTGAAGAAAACAAAATTTTGACAAAAAATCAAGCTGGATTTAGTAAAAAATATTCTACAGAAACAGCAATCCATATGGTGATGGAAGACTGAAGAAGAAGTATAGATGAGAAATAATGTATTGTACAGTATTTTTAAGACATTTTACAAAATTATTTAGTATATAGAAGTCAAAAAGCTAAAGTTGGAAATATTATGTCAAGCGTTCAAAATATATCAGTAGGGGTGCCACAAGGGAGTAAATTAGGGCCGTTGCTATTTATTATTTATATAAATGATATCTGACATTTTAGAACACTGCAAAATTAACATAAACATTTGGGCACTGAAAATGATGAAAAATTACGAATTGGTTAAATGTTAATAAACGTAAATTAAACAGGAATAAAACAAATTATATGTCAACATGAAAAAGTTTTGGTGACAATACAATGATTAATGACGAAAAAAATTGAAGTAGTCGAATCATTCAAATATCTGGGTATATATGTGGTTAATAAACTACTGTTTCACAAGCAATACATTATTTCAAAAATATCAAAAGGTAAATTACTTCTATGGAGTTTCCCATAATCTTAGTATTTATTCCAAAAAAATTGTGAATATCACTATAATTCTTCCTCATTTTTTATATTGTTCAACCGTCTTGTTTACAGCAAATGTAAAAATATTTTCAAATTTATTCTACAAAATAAAGCTATGAGAATCATTTTGAATAAAAGCAAATATACTATGTTAAAAGAACTACAGTGGTTGAATGTAAAAAATTCCATATGTTATTTAGATCTCATTTTCACACTGCAATTAAAAAATCATTTATTACTACCACATTTAGAAAAAAAAACATCATAAAACTGAATAGTCATTATCATAATTCCGAAACTAGAGGCAGTATAGATTTTCATCTGTAAATTTGTAATAGGAGCATAACTAGCAAATCTGTATTTCAAAATGGAGTATTTGAATTTAATAAACTGAATAATGATATTAAACAGTGTTCGAGTTTAAAAATGTTTGAGGTGAAATTAAAAAATCTACTTTATGAATACTCAAAATGCATAGTGATGTAATTTTAATAGACAAGAATATAAAATTACAGAAAATGGGTTAAAAAAAGATGACGTGTTAACGAATAATATACAAAATTGACATTGTAGCATTAATGCTAAATAAAAAAATAAAGTGAGTTTTTCGTTACTTTCGTTAAAAAAAAAAAGTGTCAGCTTGATTACTATTTTTAATAACGACAAACAGCCTGATGCACTGGTAAATATATTTTCTAATTTTCTTTCAGTTTCATGGAAGCTCCAGGAAGCAGATTTGAGTTGAATCAATCTGGCTTTAGGACACTGATTATAATTTTTTGCAAAAACCATCGGCGTTTGTTTTTCACTAAACACAGAGACCTGCCATCACGAATGACGTGTTTTATAACACATTTGTGTGAACCAAAACTCATACTAATATGACTATCCGTTTTCGCTCCCAGTAGCAAATGAGAAATCACAAAATTATCATAAGCTTAACATATAAAATTTTTGATAAAAATGGACTTGACCTAGTCTGGCTCTGGGTTACAGGATTGAGCGTTTTAGGCCATGAAAATTAAGTAGAACCTATTTCGCAAGGTTACGTTATTTATTTACCTTCTTGCCTTGGAGGGGGAGGCCTAGGCGGCTCTCCCACCCCCTCTCTCCCGGCACTTCCTCCCATCGTCCTTCCATAAGCTACAGAACCGTTCCTGTTATCCAACTGGTTCAAGTTCGGTTCTAACAGGGGTCCTCTAGAACGTCCCCTAGGTGCCAAGTTGCTTTTCTCATCGGGATGTGGGCCGCCGTTCAGGTTCCCCTGGGGGTCTCCGCCAGGTTTGTCTTCTAAATTGCTGGTAGACGGGGGAGGTTGGCTGTTACGCGTAGGGGGTTGCACGTAGAGGTTCTGGTTTGAGTAACTTTGGTGGTTTGACGTTAAGAAATCGTCGCCTAAGAGAAGAAAATCAGGTTAGAAAACATAATGCTTTTAGGATTGTTAGGGTGTTTCAAATTCGACTTTCAGCATTGGGAGCTCAAAAACTAAGAAAAGTAAAAAAAAACGCTAATAATTATCTCAGGAACTGTAAGCTTTAGCTGAAAAGAAAATCAATAGCTCGTTGTTTTTAGATGAATACAAGGATTTGTAAGGTATAGCAATCGACGAGTTAATTATATCAATATTCACAAAATATTTATCAACACTTTCCTTACCTTTATAGAAATTATTCACAGCTCCCGTAGTACTGATACTACTTTGCGCTTGATGAGATCCAGCGGAATTGAAAGAAAAATCCCTAGCTACAGTTATATGCAACTTATCCTTGCACGAATCTATTACTTTCTTAGCTTCTTTCAGAGACATCATATCATTGCAGTTCGTGTTATTCAATTTTGTTACAAAATCGCCAATCTCCAAGCTTTGATTTGTAGTGAGTAGCTGGTCTCTGGCTTTTGGTGAGATCTCTTTGATGAATAACTTGCACCCTAGCACTATTCCAAATTCTGGAAAGAGTAACACAAAATACGATTGTAAACAATATATAAGAACCTATCCTATGAGACAGGTAAGTTTCTAAATTTTCTCATATTCCAAAAGGAAACTACTTTTTTGTAACGAACAATAAAAAAAATTAAGTTCGATAAAATCTAGTTGAATTACACAGGCCGATTACAGGTTTTTTATGCAGTAAATTGTTAGAAAATCGCACCTAACTTAAATATTGAAGTTACAATATAACCCTTTATAAAATTACGTCAATTTTAAATCGAAAACCTTAGAAAATAGTATGGGTTGTTTTTTTTTTAATATCTTCATATGATTTTGATTGATAAAATGCTTACCTTCCTTTTTCGAGTTTTTGGTAAGCGTGACCTTCGTGCTGGCCTGTCCGACCCCCAGGCTAGTCAAAGGTGGTCCATTGAAAGATGCACTAGGACTATGTATATGTTGAATGGCTCTTCTTTTTATCACCAGCGTTACGGTATCTCCCGAGTCTCTGAGCACCTGCACTGCAGTTGCGTAATCTACGTTTTGGAGTGAGACGCCGTTCACGGATATGATCCTGTCGTTCACTCTGAAACGAGAAAAAAATTCAAAATATGGTAATCTGGGCCAATTGAAGGAAATTTTCCAAAATTCGTAGGTGTCTGCTATCGCCACCAACACCACTTTTTGGGTGAAGTGACTGTATAAATGTAATCTGAAGCATCATGTGGTGCAAATTATGCTTTACTAACGTTTCGGCCACCACGATGGCCTTTTACAAGTACAGATCAAAGTGATTGACTTGCCAACGTCCAAACTTAGCTCAATAGGAAAATGGCAAACTAAGCAAACTGCTCTTAAACGCAGATGCTCTTGCAGGCATGAACTGGTTAATAAATACTCCAATAATTTTGGGTAGGCTAACGATATTGTCGGTTAGTTGTAAAAAAGTTAAACTGAAAATGGTACGCCCATGTCAAGTGAGTCGTCACTCTGACAGTAACAAGGACAGATTAGGATTATTTATACGCTGACGAGAAGATTCTCAAAGTGGCTAAACGAAACTAGAAAACGAATGTCTGATCTTACACAAACAAACGTCCATGCACAGAGGTAGATTGGATATGCATGTGTGAATGAGATAGATATAAGTTGTAGTCACCGTTCCTGGCGGTTACGTCATCAACGCCATATGAAATAAGTAAACAGATCGAGTCTCCGTACCATGCGCGGATCTTGAGCTTCAGCACATCTGCTACTCTCTCCAGTACGCATGACGTGGTTAACAGGGGACCGCTGTTTCCATTCTCTTCCTGGAAATGCTCTAATAAATTTAGCACGAGCTGTCGGCCTTCTCCACTGATCGTATTTCCGGGCATTGTACAATTTTATATTGAAGATTGATAACAGGAGGACTTGAATTGCATCCCGATGTCAAGTAAGTTGTCACTCTGGTAAATATGACTGAAGGGCATTCGTACGTAACGACAAAGTTTTCGAGACGGAGACACACAAATAAAAAACGTATGTCTTTGAGCTTACCGAACAAACGTTCACACACAGGGGTAGGCATGTGTATGTATGAGGGAGATGAATATATACAGGGTGTAAACGTCATTATTGAAATGGGTAATAGGGGGGGGGGTCAAAACCACTCAAAAAGTTCATATGACCCATGGTCCAAAAGTCAATAGATTTTTGTCTAAATGGCTTTATAGTTTACAACTTTAACTGCTTTATATCGACCACAATCACCACAATCTTACTAATTTTTATAATCTAATCTAAAACGTTTTTAAATTGGTAATTAACAAATAAATGGCATTAAGTTTTTCTAAGTGAAGCCAAAATTTGTAGTTAGTAAGTAAGTTTCATTAAATTAAATATTTAAAACACACATGACAACAGCGCGTCGGTCTTTCATCACTCTTATCGAACCGGCAATCGATCGCAAACGGTAACATTGGTTAGTTATCGTTTTGAGTAGATAAATTATTTTATGTGTTGTTTTGTTTTTGTTCGCGTACGTCGTCGTGTTTAATTTCAATG